ACCAGTGAATGATAACATTTCGTTCTTCTTCATGGCTGCATAAAATTCCATTGTGTATAGATACCACATGTTCTTAATCCATTCGTCAGTGGTGGGGCATCTTGGCTGTTTCCGTAACTTGGCTATTGTGAATAGTGCCGCAATAAACATGGGTGTGCAGGTGCCTCTGGAGTAACAGTCTTTTGGGTATATCCCCAAGAGTGGTATTGCTGGATCAAATGGTAGATCAATGTTCAGCTTTTTAAGTAGCCTCCAAATTTTTTTCCAGAGTGGTCGTATTAGTCTACATTCCCACCAACAGTGTAAGAGGGTTCCTTTTTCCCCACATCCTCGCCAGCACCTGTTGTTGGTGGTGTTGCTGATGATGGCTATTCTAACAGGGGTGAGGTGGTTTTAATTTGCATTTCCTTTATTACTAGAGATGGTGAGCATTTTTTCATGTTCTTTTTGGCCATTTGAATTTCTTCTTTTGAGAAAGTTCTGTTTAATTCACTTGCCCATTTCTTTATTGGTTCATTAGTTTTGGGAGAATTTAGATTTTTAAGTTCCCTATATATTCTAGTTATCAGTCCTTTGTCTGATGTGTAGCTGGCAAATATTTTCTCCCACTCCGTGGGTGTTCTCTTCAGTTTAGAGACCATTTCTTTTGATGAACAGAAGCTTTTTAGTTTTATGAAGTCTCATTTATCTATGCTATCTCTTAGTTGCTGTGCTGCTGGGGTTCCATTGAGAAAGTTCTTACCTATACCTACTAACTCCAGAGTATTTCCTACTCTTACCTGTATCAACTTTAGAGTTTGTGGTCTGATATTAAGATCCTTGATCCATTTTGAGTTAATCTTGGTATAGGGTGATATACATGGATCTAGTTTCAGTTTTTTGCAGACTGCTAACCAGTTTTCCCAGCAGTTTTGTTGAAGAGGCTGCTTTCTCCATCATATATTTTTAGCTCCTTTGTCAAAGACAAGTTGGTTATAGTTGTGTGGCTTCATATCTGGGTCCTCTATTCTGTTCCACTGGTCTTCATGTCTGTTTTTGTGCCAGTACCATGCTGTTTTTATTCTTGTTGCTTTGTAATATAGTTTGAAGTCAGGTATTGTGATACCTCCAGTGTTGTTCTTTTGACTGAGTATTGCCTTGGCTATTTGTGGCCTCTTGTGTTTCCATATAAATTTAACGGTAGATTTTTCAACCTCTTTCATGAATGTCATTGGGATTTTGATGGGAATTGCATTAAACATGTAGATTGCTTTTGGGAGTATCGACATTTTTACTATGTTGATTCTACCAATCCATGAGCATGGGAGATCTCTCCACTTTCTATAGTCTTCCTCAATCTCTTTCTTCAGGAGTTTATAGTTTCCTTGTAGAGGTCTTTCACATCCTTTGTTAGATTTACACCTAGGTATTTGATTTTTTTTTGAGGCTATTGTAAATTGAATTGTTTTCATATATTCTTTCTCAGTTTGCTCATTGTTAGTGTATAGAAATGCTAATGATTTTTCTATGTTGATTTTATATCCTGCTACCTTGGTATAGCTATTGATGGTGTCTAGGAGCTTTTGAGTAGAGTTTTTTTGGTCTTTAAGGTATAGGATCATATCATCTGCAAATAGGGATATTTTGACAGTTTCTTTACCTATTTGTATTCTTTTTATTCCTTCTTCTTGCCTAATTGCTCTGGCTAGGAATTCCAGTACTATGGTGAATAGGAGTGGAGATAGTGGGTATCCTTGTCTATTTCCTGATTTTAGAGGGAATGTAAAACTCACTTTTTAAAGTGTTCAACTCACTGTCTTTAGTATACTCACAAGAGTTGTGCAAGCATCATCACTATTTAATTTCAAAACATTTTCATCACCTTAAGAAAAAAACCTCAAATCCATGAGTAGCAACTTCCCATTTCCTCCTTCCCTCAGCCCCTGGCAAGCACTACTCTACTTCCTGTCTCTAGAGGTTTACGTGCTTTGGCCATTTAGTATAAATGGAAACATGTAATATGTGTGTCTGTGTATGTGTGTGTGTGTGCATGTGTGTGTGTGTTGCTAGGGATTGAACTTCATTCATGCTAGGCAAGGGCTCACCACTGAGTGGCAACCCAGCTCTTGTTTTTTTGAGACAGGGTCTTGCTGTACAGCCCAAGCTGATCTGGATCTCATGCTCCTCCCATCTCTGCAGGATATAGGTATGAATCACTGCACCATTGCATCCTGCTAATATGTGAGTTAGCTTTTGTGATTAGCTTCTTTCACACAGCATACAGCATAATGTTTAAAAGGTTGCACAGATATACTGCACTGTATTTGTTTACCCATTTATCAAACAACAGATATTTGGGCTGTTCTCACTTTTGGTTGTTGTAAATGCTATTATAAACATTTGTGTACAACATTTTGCTTGGCCATATGTTTTCATTTTTTTCTTGGGTATTTTTTTTTGGGGGGACTAGAATTTCTGACTCATAGGTAGCTATATTTAATATTACAATATTACTATTAAACCATTTGCCAAAGTAGCTATTCAAATTTGTACCCTTTTGTTTTGAGGATGATACTTATAGAGATTAAATTACTAAATTTTTGCTTTAGAATTGTATCAGAGAATGTTTTATTATAATTACAGTAACGTTGGATGAATCATCTGGTTTTTAGTTGTTCAAAATTCTTTTTTGTTCTCCTTTTCTATTTTCTATTATAAAGACCAAATATTTTCTTCTTGAGTCAGTATTGGTATTGAGAAACCTTGTTTTAATGTGTCCTTGTTAGTCTATTGGCTTTCTCTCACTGGAATTTCTTAGAGTCTTCTTTCAATGTTACAAATATTATTAATTTTTTTTCACCACTGAAGATTAAGTCCAGGGTGTTGTGCATGGTAGGCAGGTACTCTACCATTGATTTAAAGCCCTTTCCCTTTTAAATATTCTGAAATCATAATACATTGTTTCCTCTCATAATCCCTGTACAAAGTAATAAACAAAAACAACCTATATCCAGGAAAGGGACAGGGACACAGAGAACCTGAAGTCTGTGGAGGTACTAAGGTAACTAGAGTAACAATGAAAGCCAAAGCCAAGTCAATATTAACTCAATCCTTTCCCCACCACCTCAACAAACTGACAGAAGGAAAAGAACATTCTACAGCATTACAGAAAACAGTACAGTGGCTCCTAAAAAATTAAAAATAGAACTACTGCATGATCCTGTAATCTCACTTTTGGGATATATTTGAAGGAAATGTAATCAGTGTTGAAGAGTCACCTGCACTCCCAATGTTAACTGCAGTATTCCTCATAACAGCATGGCATAGAATCAACCTAGTGTCTTCAGTGGATGAACAGACAAAGAAAATGAGGTACATATACAATAGCACATTATTCAGTCAAAAAAAAGAAAATCCTCTTGTTAATGACACCATAGATTCTCCCAGAGGACATTACTTTAAACAAATAAACCAAACACCGAAAGACAAATTCCACATGATTTCACTCATATAGAATCTAAAAAGCAGAGAGTAGAGTGACAGGGTTGTTGAGTGGGGGGAATGTTAAAAAGATGTTGGTCAAAGGATCCAAAATTTCAGTTCAGGAATTAAGTTCAAAAGACAGCATGGTGACTAAAGCTAATAAAGACGGTCCCAATTTAATAATGGCTCACTTATGATTCTTCAACTTTAAGTGGTGCCAATATATACACAACTACCATTGCTTATAACTTTCAGTATAGCATTCAATAAGTTACAGAAGATGTTCAACACTATTATAAAATAGTCCTTATGCTAAATAATTTTGCCAAACTATAGGCTAATGGAAGTGTTCTAAGCATGTTTAAGATAAGTTAGATAAGCTATGATGTTTAGTAGGTTAGGTGTATCAAATTCAGCTTCTACTTAAAATATTTTCAATTTTTGATAGGTTTCTTTGGGTTTAACCCATAATAAATTGATCACTGTATTCTTGAAAGATGCTAATTTCAGCAAAGGTATGAAAACTATTAATAAGTCAAATGAAAATTCTAGAAATAACCACAACATAAGAGGTTAGACTTCTTTGGATGGCTTACAATAAGACTGCATATGACTTGGGAGGAAAGTCACTAGAAATTATCCAGACCGAAATGTGAAGAGGAAAAAGAAAACTCCAGCCTGATCCAAACAAAAACCAGAGCATTTAGCAGCAGTGAGACAGTGGATCAATACAATTGTTTGGATTTTATTTTCTATCCTATTACTACTCTTAGGGCCTACTCAATCTTAGGTCTTACATTTTCTCTAGTTCTATGAAATCTCTTGTCAGTTACTTCTTTAACATTTCTTCCTTTGTTTACTTATTTAACTTTTTCTTTCTAGAGTTTCTGTTCTCTAAATGTTAATCTTTCAACTTTTATTTATCTTTCAAATAAATACACACGTGTTTATGTATTAAGTGAATATATTTAATATGTATTTTAAAAACATTTCACCTCTTTAGTCCTTCCTGATGCCATCCGACAGAGTTCCTCAGGTTCTTGTTCTCTGATGTCATTCAGCTGGCCAATAGAGCATCCAATCCGTTTAATGTGTTCCTTATCTCAGCTTTTCCTGTTTTACTTCTGACCTCTACTAGTATGTTTAACTTCTTGCCTTGTTTCCAGTATTCCCCTTTTCCTTTTGCACTTCTGATGAATGTAGAAGTGTGTATGTCTTCACAGCAGAGGACTTGTGTGTTAATTTGTATACATTCTGGCATTCTTGTTCAGAAAAACAGAATGTTTCTCTATCTCTCCCCCCACTAGAGACCCTCTAAGGTTCGTCACACTCATTTGTGTGTGAATACTTTAGTATTAGTCTACTCTTACTGATAAGCTTCTTCTGTAAAGAGCTGTTACTTTGTTCTATGTGTCATTGGCCCAAGCAGACTGAAAATTCCTGGTCTTCCTGTCCTTATTTTCTTTTATGAAGATGATAAACTGCCACTGACTAGCTAACATATAGTATCATTACATGAATTAGGGGGAAAAACTCACTTTGTCCAAATCCTCCTTTTGTACTCATGAATTCAAAGAAAGCATCAAGAATTCTGCAGAGGGTTGTGACGATTGTTATATCCTGCATAGGATATGGCAGAAATTTCTGATGCTTCTTTATAAATTGTAGTCCATCTGGGACACTTTTTTTAATCATGGATTCAAGACAATCCACTCCTGATTGACTCATAATGTTAGAAGTTTTCAAAAGCCAACACTTAATATAAGGCTCCCATCCAAGATCAACAGGGTCCTAATAAGAAAAAGCACAAGAAAATCTTATGTAAAAACTAAAAACAGAACTCTTCTGCTTTCTTACTATTTTTTTACTTCACTGCTGCCTCCTGAGAAATTCAGCTTAGCATTATCATTCTTTAAAGAGCAAATGATCAAAATTGCTTGAGGAATTACCATTCTCTGAATGATTTGTCATTTTTGACCATGGTCTCAGGAGAAAGCAGGCAATTTGGAGATTCTGGACAGGGAGGTGTGCTGAAGCTATGTGTGGTGGTCAGGGGAGTGGTCACAGAAGTAGCCCCACGTTGTAGCTTTATCCATCACATCAGTCAAAGCAGAGGTCTAACCATAGTTAAAGATTAATTTAATGTGTAGAAAATCCTTTGCTGTTATTGTTTTTCCTACCTCCTTGTCACTGTCTTGGTAATGCATTTCCCAAGTTATAAGAATCACAGAATAAGAAAACATTTCAGGGAAGGACTCTTTCCTCTATTGGAAAACAATTCACATTGCAGCCTAATCTGCCTACTTGAAGGTATTACTCACTCACACATGTGGAAACGCTGACACTTCATTTATTGAGAGAAGAATAACTTAGCCATTATATTGCCATTCTCTACTGGATCATGAAGTTTGGGGGGCATAAAGCTTCAGGACTACTGGACTCACTTTGCTGACATGAGTCAAAAATAAAATTCACATTAAAGGGCTGCAGATAATGACTCATTACTATCCCAGATACCACATGCTCTTTGTAAGGAAATTTGCTTTTGAAAACTTACCATGTACACCATTGCACACCGGCTGACAGTAGCTGGACTGGCCTGAGAGAGACTGTCCACTTCAAAGATCATGCGTATACTGCTAGTAAGTGCTATTCTCTCACTGTTGGCCAGACACAGTGTTCTTGTGTCATCCAGCACAGAGTTCAGATTCTCTACCCACAAGATGTCCACTGGGCCATCCAAGACAATCCATTGCCAGTCAAAACCTGGGCAGGACAAGATTTTAATGTGACTGAGAGTGAGCTCTGGCTTCTTTCTTTACAATCTTGAAAATTTTCTACTGTATGTAGATGAAAGCTGGTGTTCTGGGGAAAATGGAGTGAATGTACAGTGTCCTGTATCACAGTGCCACTCTGTGCTCTAGATGCTCTGCCTCTGATAGAAGAGGAGACACCTACAGGCAGGCTCCAGTGTTTACTAACTAAATACTCCACCATGCCTTGAGCAGTGTTTAGACATTCTTAGATCACTGAATTGGATAATTAACTCTTAAAATTTGGATGGGAGAAAGATTCATGATTTTACATTTTTCTTAATAATATTATTTGTGAGTGTGCCCCTTCCACAGAGGAATGATTTTCAGATATGTTGCTTTTGGGGAATAACAAAGGGAAATAGATGCCCTTTGAAGAAAGAATCAAAGTTTAGAGTACATCACGCTTGGTCTCCATTTAACCCTCTTTACCTACTTAATCTGTTTCTTAGATAAGGAAGCTTATAAACAACAGAGGTTTATTCTTACTGCTCTGGAGCTAGAAGTCAAAGACTAAGGTATTCTCCTGGACCTTCCTCACAAGGACGTTAATTCTATTCACAAGGTCAGAGCCCTCATGACCCATTCTCCCCAAAGAACCCTGCACCTAATAGTATCACCTTGAGGGTTATGAATTTAACACATGCATTTGGGGCTGGGGAGAACACAAATATTCAGACTATAGCACACAAGCTATGCCCACTACTGTGCTCAGTGACTGTGGAAATTGTAGAAAGTCTATGATCAGGAGAGGGGGGTGTGAATAGGTCACTATGTAGACAGAAGGTAGGTATCACCTAAAAGATGTTAAAGTGTCCTACAAGAACCAGGAAGACCTAGGATTCATACAACCATCACTGGGAAGATGGGCTCTGGATAGATGAAAAACTTGCTGTACAGTTGTCCTAAACCCCTTAAAGAAAACTTACTATGTCCAATCATTGTACTTTCCCCAAAATGACAGGCAAAACTTCAGGAAAGTAGAAACAGCAGCAGAAGTTCCTTCAAAAGTCTGTATCATAAATGTGTTACTGGAGAACGAGTCGATATGAAGCTCAACCTGAACGAGGGAAGCAATGGCTGGGGCTCCTCCAGTAGACTGTCAGTCCCCTTAGAGCAGGGACCAGTTCATACAGACATTCTGTCCCCTGGGACATAGCCAAGTGTATGGCATATATCAGGCATGCAGTTCATTTGAGATCAGTCTGCTGAGGTTGCATGATTTAGCTGGGATGTAAAGTCTGTTTGGAGTCCCTGTTCAGAGGTGGTACTAGGCTGCCACTGTGGCATCTCATGTCTTTCCTACATTTAATATCTACTTCTTCTTATGGGGACCAGTGGTCACCTATAAAACGAAGGGCTGTTTAAGCCCCAGTGGCGATATACCATAATGATTAACACACACACACACACACACACACACACACACACATATATAATATTGTATGTGATACTAATATACAAATTAGAAAAACACAGAAGGAAAAAGTAAACTGTGAAAGAACAAAATATCACTAATTAAAAATATGGCTCAAGGTTTTTTCCTATGTAAGTTCATCATCTTTACAAAATTTAGTAACACTTACTGTGACTTTCTAGAATTTTGTCATCTTTCACTGTATCCTTCACAAAACTATCATCGATATCTGTTGGGTCAGAGGATTCAAGTTGGAAAACCTAAAATATTTAATCAATAGTGTTTAAAGTTTTACTTGATATAGGGTCCAGCCACAATGATGATATATCAATATGCTTTCTTGAAAGGCCAAAGCTCTCCCGCTGAAAAGACCAACACATAATTAGTACAATGTATCTTGCAAATGCAGCATATTTCCTTTCAGAAAATTGAAAAAAGAGAAATACTACTTTAGTTTAAATAAGCCAGGCACAGAAAGAAAAATACTGTATGTCTCATTTATCTGAAATTTAAGCATTTGACTCATGGACATGGAGAGCAGAACAGCAGCCAGCAGAGGCAGGGAAGTGCAGGGGAAGGGGGTACAGACAGGAATAAGCAAAAGTGCTTTGTGGGTCAGCAGACTGATCATAGTTCATGGTGACTTATTATATACTGTATAAAGAATCAGAAGAGGCGTGTTTGGAGCTTCCTAGAACAAAGAAATGACAAATGTTTAAGGAGATGTAAGTGCTAATGGCTGTGAGGTGATCATCACACACTGTACACATGTACTGAATGACCACACTGTGTCCCAAAGTACACACAATAGTAAAATTAAAAAAAAAAACCCAGAAGGCAGAATAATGAATGTAGAAATAGACCCCTATTCCAGTACTATTTTATATTAATGGGAATGAGATTAATTATTTGGTTGTGTCAGAACAATTTTCCATCTGGGAGAAAGTTCCATTAACAATACCTAAATGAGCTTCATTAAGATCAAGGGTCTAAAAAGATTTATTGTGGGAGGATCCAAGATGGTGGTTAGGGCAGGGAATCAGAAAGCCTAAGCTCCATGACTCCAGGAACTACCTTGAGACTTCGGAGCTACACTTGGGTAATTCTGATTGCTCCTGACCAAAATAATAACTGCCATCACATTAGGTGCACATAAAATTCAAAGACTGGCCCTGAAATCAGCCTTTAATTGCACCTAACAGCTGCGAAAATGCTGGTGTGGCATAGTCAGCAAGGCGTGTCCAGCCCTGAGAAAAAAGCCCCCTGGCCATTTCTCTTTCTTTCTTTTTAAAATTTTTAAAAATTTTTCTCCCAACAAGCAGAAGACAGCGCATTGATCAGAATCAAACTCTGTGACATCTTGGATCCCTAACCTGTGGAAAGCCTCCCTAGATTGTGCCATTTCTCCCTGCCAGCTGGTTTCAAAGCTGCTTGCATGAATTTGTAGAATGAACAGGTGAGCATCACGCACCACGCTCGACTCCCCTACCTACCCCAGATTTCTATATCTGGCCTAATAACTATCATCCCTGCAACTCCCACTGTTTACTGATATTACCCCCGAGGGGTTTTCTATATAATATGTAAACAACTGGTCTGGCATTGAATCTATGAATTTGTTATTGCTAAATCACACCTCCAGTCCAGGGACAAAAAGAGCACATCAACCTAGCTAGCAACCAAGTCAGTCAACAACACAAAAATTAAATCAAGGGAAAGAAAACAGGCAATTGAAACCACCAACTAGCCTATCAAGAACATAGTTGCACAGCACCAAGTGGAGTGATGGGAAAAAGAAGGGATGGAAACTACTCTCCTCAAAAAAAAAAATTCAATAAAGGATTCAGCATGAAATGAAGAAAATGGATAACTAGTTCCTGATGTCAACAAAACAATGATAAATGTCACTAAGGAACCCAGTGATGCCCACAAAAACAAAACAAAAACCCTCAAAGAGGAAATCTTGGAAAAATCACTGAGAAAGTCATGGAGAAGATACTAGACATGGTTAACCTGAATGTACAAGATGCACTCAAGAAATTTCAAGACACCAAAAATATAGAACATCAGAAGACACAGAAACAAATAAATGAACTCAGAGAGAACTTCAGCAAACACCAAAGTGAAACAAAGGACACTATAAAAAAAGAGATATATGAATTAAAGATGACAACACAAAATATAAAGGAGGAGTTGAACAAAGATATGGAAAACCTTAGAAAAAAAATAAAACAGAAATAAAAAGGTACTTTTTATTTCTAGGTACTTTAGTTACCTAGAAATTTTTGTTTAGTTAAACAAAAAACACAGCAAAGGCTACTCCAACAAACTAGAACAAGTGGAAGACAAAATCTCAGGGCTCAAAGATAAAATAAAAATTAAAGAAAAAACAGAAGAAATCTTAGTCAAACACTCAAGAGCTGTGAAAGGAATATGCAAGAACTCAGTGATTCCATCCAAAGATCAAACTTGAGAATCATGGGCATTGAAGAAGGAAAAGAGGTACAAGCCAAAGGGATACATAATATATTCAATAAAATAATAACAGAAAATTTCCCAAATTCAAGAAAATGTTGACCATTCAGGTATAGGAAGCCTCCAGGACACCAAACAGACATGACCAAAAAAGAACCTCTCCATGGCATTTTATCATTAAAACAACTAGCACAGAGAACAGAGAAAGAATATTGAAGGCTGTAAGAAAGAAAAACAAATAACATATAAAGGTAAATGCATCAAAATAACAGCAGATTTCTCAACAGAAACCTTAAAAGTAAGAAGGGCATGGAGTGAGGTATTTCAGGCACTGAATGAAAATGATTTCAGCCCTAGGATACTCTAACCAGCAAAACTATCATTCAAAATTGATGAAGCAATAAAAATCTCCCATGATAAACAGAAACTGAAACAATACATTACCACTAAGCCACCAATAGCCAAGTTATGGAAACAGCCAAGATGCCCCACATACCGACAAATGGATTAAAAAAAATGTATTTATACACAATAGAGTTTTACTCAGTCACAAAGAAAAATGAAATTTTGTCATTCACAAGTAAATGGATGGAACAGGAGAACATCATCTTAAGTGAAGTTAGCCAGGCTCAGAAGGCCAAAAATCGCATGTTTTCCCTCATATGTGGATTACAGACCCAAAACACATGCAGTAACATTACTGGACATGGGGAGAATGTACATGGAGGAATAGGGAAAGAGAAGGAAAACTAAACCTTGAATGTGGCTAATGTGCTCACTGTAGAAGAGCTAATAAAGTAATCTTAAACTTGCAGAGGCCATGATGGGAAGGGGACCAGGAAGTAGTGAAGTGGTCTGGCAGAGATGAACCAATGTGGTTTGCAATACACACGTGCATGGAAGCAATGCTAGGAATCTCTCTGTATAGCTACCTTTATCTCAAACTAGCAAAAATGCTATGTCTTTCTTATGATCTCTTACATTTTCTCTTCAACAAAATTTAAGAACAAGAGGGCGGAACAGATTTTCCCAGAAGCATGGGGTACAGGGAGTGGGAAAGTAGCCCAAACCATGTATACACATGAGTAAACGTAAAAATGATAAAATTTAAAAGATTTATTGTATGTTATTAAGTAACCATCAATATACAGGTTAAGCACCCCTTACCAAAATGCTTGGGACCTGTGTGTTTTGGGTTTTGGAATATTTGCATAAGCAAAAGAGGCCAGGACCCTAGTCTAAACAAGAACTCGTGTATGTTTCATACACACCTTATACACATAGCCCGGAGGTAACCTTGGAAAGTGGCTTTCATAACTTTGTACATGATGTAGCTTCATGGTATAGAGTGCATCAGCTCTGAAAAAGTCTCAGGTTTGAAGTTTTGAATTTTGGGTTTTTCAGATTAAGGATGCTTAATTGTCCCAGAATAATCTTACACAAAGAAACCCTATCAAGGTGTGACTGAAAAGTTGGAATGTACAAGAAAAATGATAAACTTATTTTCATGGACTGCAGAAAATATATATGGCACACATGGCAGACAAATGACTACTTTTTCAAACCAATATGAAAACGATAGCAAACATCTAATAAAATCATTTCCTTAAGGAGCAGTTTCTCCTCCCTTCTTCTTTTCTTCATTTCATTCTGCCCTGAGGCACTTTTTGGGAGGTGGGGTGGGGCTGTAGTGGGATTTGAACTCGGGGCCTCAAAGTCTGTTAGGCAGGTGCTCTACCATTTAGGCCATGCCTCCCAGCCCTAACTTTATTGAAGTAAAGTTTTTTTTTTGTGTGTGTGTTTTTGCTTGGGGTTGGACTCTGACCACAATTCTCCTATCTATGCTTCTTGTGTAGATGGAATAGCAAGTGCTAATTTATTATCATGCCTGGTTTCTTGGTTGAGATTGGGTCTCACTAACTTTTTGTCTGAGCTGGCCTCCCACGTAACCCTTCTGATCCCTGCCTCTTAAGTAGCTGGGATTATAGGCACATACAACCACACCCAGCCAGGGGTGGATTTTAATTAGAAATCTCAGTGTGTTCAGTCATCCCTTGGCATTTACAAGGGGACTTGTTCTAGCACCTCCAAATGGATTCTGAAATCTAAGGGTGCTGAAGCCCCTTGTATAAAATCTATGCATATAATCTATGCACTTTAAATCACCTCGAGATTACTTAAAAGACCTAATGCAACTTAAAAGCTATGTAAATTGTTGTATCACTTAGGGAATAATGACAAGAAGGAAGTCTGTACAGACACAACTGTGTTTTTCAAATACTCTTATGCATGATTGGGTGAATCTATACATTTGGAACCCAATACAGAGGGTTGACTGCATTCCCAAAGTTATCCTGGGTTATGAATGGATTTCTACTGCACAATCTCATACATCTAGAATATCATTTCCTTTGGTTTCAAATATCATCTTTTTATCAATACACTTTAATGAAATTTAAAGCAACCCTACTAATTACTAATACTAAGAACACAACTTTAATTTGGTTTCCACTTACATTTATTCTTTGATGAAGTTTGTGTCAAATTTTTCTTCACCTTTCTACTGAAACATTTTGATCTGCAAGCCCCTCAGTGGTGCTGGAGTCACCAGGGCACTCTCCCTGTAGACTTAGTCCACTTTGTATTCCTTTTAAAGCAAGTATCTTTAACCTTATCCAAGATTCACTGACCATTTAAAAAGTCAGTGGCATACTTTCTGGTTTTAATAACTTACAAATTTCTCTTTTTGAAATGTTCAAAACACTTTTATACTAATAGGTATCTTATGATGCTTTAGGATCGGTCTTTGAATATACAATGGTTCATCAGTCAAATGAAACACTCACACGATATTAAACTTACATTCGATAAGTCTGAGATTCTTGACTTTAGTCCGAGATCAGTGTCTCTCTTTGAGTAACTTGCAGGGTTCGAATATACATAATTTCAAACTGCTGCTGATAATAACCCATCAGTCCATTCCATAGTATTAGGATCCAGTTGTCCATAGAGTTCACTGAGAGTGATACACTTTGGATTTAAAACATAAATATCTACTTTTCCTTTTTTTCCTGGAATCTGGGGAAAATCAGTGTTATGTATAAGACATTAACTATAGTACACTTTTTGTACTATTATCACCAAAGAGTTTAGAAGACGTTTTCACTTCAATTAAAAATTCTCTATAAAGATAGCATTTAAAAGGAACAGTAAAAATTGGTTTATTAAAATTAGCCACGATAAGCAAAATCATTATTAAAAAAAATTCTATATACTACAAATGGTTCCTGGAAGGAATATGATAGCTCACTGTGCTTTATATTTGAATGTGGATGTGGTGAGTCTGGAGCCTGGGTTGGGTGTAGAGATTGGACCTTATTTGCAACATTCTAACGTATATGGGCCATGACTGAAGAACTGGTCTCTGCTTCATCTACCTCAGATCTGAGATAGGAAAAGAGGCAGGCACATTTGCAGAGAAATACAGATCTGCAAAAGCAGGGAGCAAGAAGTTATGGGTGAGACACACAGTAGATCATGTAAGGCCTCAGAAAGAAGTTGGGATGGGAATCTTCGGAAAATTAAGACTCAAAAACAGCTGTAAATACATATAAAGCCATGAAACAGAACTGAGAGTCCAGAAATAAACCCAAACACCTGTGGTCAACTGGTTTTCAATAAGGATGCCAACATCATTCATTTAGGAAAAGAACAGACTCTAATAAATCGTACAGGGAGAACTGGATATCCATTTGCACAAGAGTGGGATCCTACTTTGCTTTATATATAAAAATTAACTCAAAGTGGGTCAATACATTAACTGTAAGAAGAAAAACTATAAACCATAAGAAAGAAACATAGGAATAAGTCTTTATGCCCTTGGATGTGGTTGTCAATTCTTAGATTTGACACCAAAAGCAGAAGCAACAAAGGAAAAAATAAATAAATTGGATTAATTGGATTTTATAAAAATTAATGACTTTGTGCATTCCCATAAAGGAAAAAGATTACTCACAAATAGGAAAAAAATTGTAAGTCTCATATTTAATGAAGTTTCATGACCTGAATATATAAAGAACTCAACTAAATAACAAAAAGACAATCTAATTTAAAAATGGACAAAAGATAGACATAGACATGCCTCCAAAGAAGATATACAAATAGCCAATAAGCATGACACCACTGGTCATTAAGAAAATGCAAACCAAAACCACAATGAGATACTGTTTCACATTCAGAAAAGATGATATCTGTAGGTAAGAAGGTGGAAACATCGAAAGCCTCACACATTGCTAACAGCTGTTTAAAATGCAAATGACTACAACCACTATGGAAAGCAGCATGGAGATTCCTCAAAAAGCTAAAAATAGAACTGCCATATGATCCAGTGATACCACTCCTGGCCATATACTCAAAGGAATGTAAGTCAGGATATAATAGAGACACCTGTATACAAATGTTCACTGCAGCAATACTCACAATAGCCAAGCTTTGGAAACAACCCAGGTGCCCTACAACTGATGAATGGACCAAGAAAATGTGGCATATATACACAATGGGGTATTACTCAGCCATAAGGAATAATGACATGTGGTTTGAAGGTAAACGGATGGAATTGGAGGACATCCTGTTAAGTGAAGTAAGCCAGGCTCAGAAAGACAAAGGCTGCATGTTTTCTCTCATATGTGGAAGATACATCCAAAGATAAACATATACTCAAAACCAAACATGAACATATACAAACTCAGATGTAGAACATGTTTTAACAGTGGAACTACTCTATGGAACTCAGGGAAAGAAGAAAAGGAAAAGAAAATGATAGAGCATAAATAATATCAAATAACAAGATGTGAAGGTAGAGGATGTAAGGATGTGTATTGAAAGCTGTTGAAAAATAGGGGGTGGGAAGTAAAGGGGTAGGGGAGGATAATGGAAGGGGCTGAATGGACCAAAGTATACCCACAGTGGGCATGCATGCATTGAGGTATTCCTTTGAACATCAACTTGAGTGTTAATAATGAAAGACAGGACTGTAAAATAGGTACAGTGTGTGTGTGTGGGGGCAGGTACTGGTTGGGGGCTAAAGGAAGATTAAGGTGGTGGTATATGGTTGATGAACTTCATATACCTATATGAAACAGAACTAAGAAACCTCTTGCAATTGCTTTAAGTAGGGTGGGGAGGAGGTTAAGAGGGAGAGATGATGGGGGTGATGTAATTAATGTACAATATGGGTCTAATCAGAGTTGTGACTATGAATCCCCTCCTGTGTAATGAATATATCCTAATAGAAAATTTATAAAAAAATAAAATGGTGCAGCTGCAGTGAAGAACAGATCCTCAAAAGATTAAATATACAGTTACCTCATGAACCAGCAGGTCTCCTTCCAGGTATGTGTCCAAGAGAAATGAAAAATGTGTCCACTCAAAAACTCACATGCAAATGTTTGTAACAGTGATACTTCTTCTATCTAAGAGATAGAAGCAACCCAAATATACACATAGGACGAGCAGATGAGCATACAGTGATGGCTGGATAAACAAACAGAATGACGCTCGTTTACACTCTTATAATACACAACCGTTCAGCCATGATGTGGAATGAAGTACTGATACATGCTACAACTTAGATGAACCTCAACGACATATGTTAAGAAGTAGAAGAAGCCAGACAAAAGAGTTCACATGTTATATGGATTACTTTTATATAAACTGTACAATTAGTGGTTGCCTATGAATGGGGAGAGAAAAGAATGAGGAGTGATTTCTTAATGGAAAGGGGAGCTCTCAGAATGATAAGAAAGTTTTGGAACTGGAGAGGTGGGATTGAACTATACCCTTTAAAATGGTTAATTATAAGCCAAGCATAGAGGTTCACACTTATAATCTTAGCTACCCAGGAGGTGGAAGCAGGAAGATCATAAATTCTAGGCCACCCTGGGCAAAGATAACTAGACCCTATCTCGAAACAAAACAAAACACCAAACAAACAAAAGGACTGGGCTGTGGCTCAAGTGGTGAGGCCCTGAGTTTAGCCTCCAGTAGCTCAAAAAAAAAAAAAAAGTTATCTAAAAAAAAGGTTATCTAGATTATCTATATGTTCTGTGAATTTCACCTGGCAGAAGTTCTGGTAAAGCTATGCTCTGCCATACAGAAGTTCTATTCCTGTATATAAAATCTTAAGGCTATACATACACCTAAGGACAGGCAGTAAAAGCACTAGAGTATTCCTGTGATGGAAAAGGAACAGAAGTGAAGAGCAGGAAATAAACTAAAGTAAAAAGGCCTGGAACTGACCAACAAGAAGAAAGTCATGACCTAAGGAGTATGGTCAAAACAACCTCATTCTGAGGGTCTGCCACTGTCCTGAATAGGGTGGTTTTTGTGTGTGTTTGTGTGTGTGTGTGTGTACATGTATATATACACATATATATATATGTGTGTGTATATATATATGTACACATAAATAGATACAGAGATAAGTATATATACATATATCTCTAGATCTATATAATGAGAACATCAATAAATGAATTAAGGTATACTGTATATATAGAATAGAGTCCTTGGAATTGTATTTGTGAGTTTCTAATGATGTGGGGTTAATTCTGGGCATATAATACTAGGTGAAAATGGCAAAATGTAAAACAAAATTGAGAATATTTATAAAGAAATATAGCCATGATTTGAAAATATATAATAGAAAAAAATTATTAAATGGAAGATAGAAAAATGTTTTCAGTGATTCTTTCTAGTTGATTATTATTTATTTTCCAAAATTTTCACAATTATGCATACTACTTTCATACTTAAAAACATTTCTAAGGCTGTTGGAGGGGCTCAAGCCATAGAGTGCCTGCCTAGCAAGTGTGAGGACCTGAGTTCAAACCCTAGTACCCACCCCAAAAAAAAACCCCAAAAAAACTTTTCTAACAAAATGAATTACTACCCACTGCACTGATATGAGGATTAAAGGCTGCAATTCAAGTAAAAGTGGTTTTGAGCACAGTACTGCACCCATGTTTACTGCTCCATAAATATTAGCTGTGATTATTACTGTTCCTATGATCATTCACCTGTTATTAATTACGGCAACTTTTAAGAACTCATTGAGCTCTGTTTAGGTAGAGGAGATGACAAAGGATTAGAAACTAAACTAATCCTCTGATTAGTGTCTGATTTTAAACAGGATATTTCATACTGACAGAAAAAAATCTATACAATTGAGAGCCTGACTTTCTAGGACTTTTGGAATATATTACCAACAATAAATCTTTAAATAAAATAACTGAATTACTCACTATTTGGTGGAGACTAACTTTATATTTCATAAAAATATATCATGATGAAGTAGGGACTATTCTAGGAAGTCATGGACAATTTAATACTAACCAGTTAAACAATAAAAAGTAGCTGGGTTTTGGTGGCCCACACCTGCAATCCTAGCTAGGCAGAGAGCAGGAGGATTACGGGTTCAAGGCCAGCCAGAGCAAATAATTAGGGAGACCCACCTTGAAAATAAACAACACAGAAAACCACTGGTGGAGAGGCTCAAGTGATAGAGTACCTGCCTAACAAGTGTAAGGCCCTGAGTTAAAACCTCAAGTAGATGCTAAAATCATTTAATGAATTCTAACCATCAAAACCCCAAAGTTTTGGTGAACAGAAATTTCCAAGTATGATGAAGAATATTTATCAGCGTTAAAGAGCTAATATTGTATTGAGTGCAAAAATATTAAATGCATTCCACATAAAATAAGGAACAAATATTATAGGTAATATTGTTTGAGGGTTAATCAATTCAGTAAGATAGGAAAAGAATATGTCATAAATATTGAAAAAAGGGATGAAATTATTTTCATTTGAAGATGACTGAATTGATACTTAAAAAAGCAATTGGAACTTACAAAGCTATTCAGTAAGGTAGCTAAACACAAAGTAAACATAGAATTCAATAGCTTTGTTTTACATGAGCAATGGCCAGTTTGAGGTTTAATTTTTTAAAAATCCCACTTACTACAATGATTCCTAACTATAAAATTCCTACTAATAAATTTAGTAAGTAATGAAAATGCTTATGTAAAACATAAAATGCTAACTGAAGAATAAAATGTGATACAAACAAATTGAGAAATATTTTGTGCAGCAGAACATTTACCTTTGAAGCAGATTGCCTGTCTTTAAGTGACAAGAGGTCTACAGCTGGTAACAATATTAAGGCTTTTTCTAAAATTCTTCTGGCTGTTGTCTTTCCTCCACCTGTTGGGCCCACTAACATCACACCAACACGAGCCTAAAATAAATTTGCAGATTTATTCATTCATAAACTATCTTAAAAGTTTACTTACAAATACATCTCTGTACCCACTGATATTCCTTCAAATTATAATACTATACTTTGGAATCTGGCTTCTGCTTTTACTGAGGAGGCTATGTTAAAGTCACAAGAAATCTCCTAATTTTAAAATTCAAAAAACAGTTTATCTTACTTTCCGCTTCTTCCTACTCGTGGCTTTCTCTCCTATTGGTTGCTATAACATAATTTATCAGGATTTTCCTCCTTAATTTTTTCTTTCTTGAGTTCTGATTCTCTTTCTCATTTTAGACTTTCCTAAATCATTCTACATCTGCTCTACCTCTACATTGTTCTTTCCAAACTCCTCAATTTGGTCTTTAACTATGACCTAGATCCTAATGACTCCCTGATTTATCCTCTTGTCCCAGTCTTTGGTCTTGAGTGGCAGAATGAAATCTCAAATGATCTGCTAAACATTCCCATCTAGACCTTCTTTTCACATTGTTGCTTCTTTCATTTCTCTAATCTAGTTAATAAAACCTCTGTGTACTAATTGTTCAAAGTAGACTTTTTCATTCTCTCCTCTCTTACAAATCTTTTTCTTAATTCCATCTTCTCTCCATCCCAACCACAAGTACTTTACATTGCTGTTATGAACTGAATGTTTGGGTCCTCCCCAAATTCATATAGTGAAGCTACAGCTCCCAACACGATGATATTTGAGGTGGAATCCTCGTATGGGACTCCACTAATTCCTTACGTGAATAGAAGGAAACCAGAGCACTCATGTGGGCAAAGCTCTAGAACCTCAACCTTCCCACCCATGTTCTTCCTCCCCTGCTTCACATGAGGACACAGCAAAGCGGCTACCTACACACCAAGGAGAGGGCTGTCACCAGATACAGAATCTGTCAATACTTTGATTTTGGATTTCCCAGTCCCCACAACTCTAAGAATTTAATGTGGGATCTTGGTGTATCCCACACCTATAATCCCAGCACTCAAGAAGCTAAGACAGGAGGATCTTGAGTTACAGGCCAGCCTGGGTTATACATAATGAGACTGTGAGAGAAAGAAAAGAAGGAAAAATATAAATAAACAAATAAATAAATATCTGTGTCTAAGTCACTCAGTTGTGGTATTGTTATAGCAGCCTAAGATCAGGAAGATACTTGGGACCTCATCATCTCTTCTGGAATGCTGTAATAATATTAAAAGAATTATTTTTTAAAAAATGATGCTAATATCTTATAAATACATTAAAATTCATATATGGATAAAACTAAACTATCTTTGAATCAATCTCTGAATCCTTATGGAAGTCCTGTGATCCTTCTTGTGTGGAGACAGGGTCTCACTATGTCACCCAGGCAGCTCTCCTGCATGCTGGGATTATAGGCTCAGCCTCACTGTACCAAGCATTAAGTCTGATGATTCTTGATTGGCAACTTGAGAGTGGTACAAAAGGCTTTCTTATCAAATGGAAACTGAATATTCAGCAACTCAGCCAGACTAGCTCCGGTGGGTCATCAAAGAGTGGCAACAATCCCTCCCTTCGCCTCCTGAAAGAAAGCTGTTTGCTGAGTGGAACTCCTTTTTTTGCAGTACTGGGGTTTGAACTCAGGCCTTATACTTACTAGGCAGGTGCTCTACCACTTGAGCCACTCTGCCAGCCCCTTTAACAGAACTCTTGATTCCCAAAGATTCCTTATCTGTGTGTGCCCAAGGGCTCAGCTAAACTGAAACTTGATCTCTCACAGTGCAGCCTCACACTCATTAACCTCTACTCAGTGGGCAGAACTCTGATCCCAGGGCTTCTCTGATGGCCTAGCTACCTGGCCTGCCTCTTGGAGAACTTCAGATGGGGGTTGTAAAGTGTAGAAATAAATGATGGCAGCTGAGCAAACAAACCGACTCACTCATGGGCAGATTATCTAGAATGAGGCTGCTAATTGAGCCCACCCTGCCTAGATTGCCACACCTGCTATATGAATACAATATCTTACTGAGTACTGCGACATGCTTGCCATCAAGACATTGTCATCACAGCAAAATAAAGTACTCTGTGCTTCTGATGCATAAGCCACTACTGCATGCCAGACTTTACTCGTGCCAAAAGTTGATGTAGTTATCTCACAGTAAGGGAAGCCAAACTAGGCCGGGCATGAATCCAAGAGTCCTGAAGTGCTGCTGGTGTTGCTGCACTAAAGTTGAAGTTATTTCAACGTATGAGATCACTGCTCCAGTCCAGCCAGCAGAGGCTAGCCATGTTCCTGTCTCTTTAAGCTAATTTGTATCATGTCTGTGGATTTCTGGATCATTTATCATCTGACAATGCTGTACCTTTTATCACAAAGTTCACTTAAAAATGGGCAGATGATCAGGTATGTGATTGGACCATTCACACTCCCCGAAATCCACAGGCATCAAGTAAACAGCCTCCTCAAATCCTGACTCCAAGACATTTCTGATTCTATCTCCTTCACTCTTTCTTTGCTCCCACACCTTACTCAGGCAAAGAATTGCTAACAAGACATTCTACACTTACCTGAAGTTGATTATGAAACTGTATGATCTTCTCTTTCTGAGGTGGCCAATGCTGAAAGCCTAATTGTTCTGTTGCGATATGTATTACTTTCTAAAAGGAAATAAATACATTAAAGTGCATTGCACATTGAACCCTTAATTTTTGGGGGGAGAGGGGAGCTGAGGATCAAAACCAGAACCTTGCACAAACTAGCCAAGCACTCTATCACTGAACTACACCCCAGCCCAAACCTCTGAGTTTTAATCCCTCTTAACTAAGTACTAATTATTGCACTTTAAGACAGTAGTTCTTAGTTGTTTTTTTTTTTTTTTTGGTGGTGCTGGGACTTGAACTCAGGGATTTGCATTTGCTAGACAGGAGGAGTTCTTAGGTTTTTTTTTTAGTGCGCCAGCCTCTGTCTCTGAGAATAATGAAAAATGTTATTACTCTCTCAAGAAAAATATAATACACACAAAAATACAATACTCACAGACATCTGGCAGCAAATTCCTAAACTCTCTTTCAGATTAAGAACCCTTGCTCTGTGATATACTGATGAACTAGCCATTGAATGTACAACTGTCTCATTACCCTGCACTGAAAGAAAATCTGAGAAGGTTCCATATTTTGTAATTCTAATCAACATTAAGGTAGGTTTTAAATTTTGTGATGATTATTTTAATGCTTCAATATTAAGAACATTCTAAGACAGCAAATAAAATTGGCAAGACTGAAAACATGATGGTGTTATACATTAAAATATTCCAAGGAGGGCTGTAGCTTGGAAAGATTCTTAATTTTCTAGCAAAGGAATTATTAGGGCAACTGTGTTTCCTTCTGATGGAGGGCTCATTTCAAGGTGAATATAACTGGTAGCTGGGTCTACAAAGAATGGAGTTTATCCTTTTTTTTTTTTATTAGTCTATCACACTCTATTTTTCACTTCTTGCATCCCTTACAATGAGACAGAGCAAAGCAGGTGAAAGAGACTCTTAGCAGGCCTATGGAGAGGAAGGCAGCTCCAGTGGCCAGACTAACTCAGGTAGGAAGTCGCTGAGAGGATTTTTTTAAAAGTAGAGTTGATGAGACTACCCGAGGAAGGCCTGGACTTTGAGCAGTTCTAGATGCTCTCTAGTTAATAACGTCAGCCTAGATACTTGTCTGGATATAAGCGAGAAGTCATACAGGGTGGAGCAGGAATCACAGATGCACAGAGGACAAGCACAGTCAGGGTAATCAAGGAGGAGGTACTAAAAGGAGTCATCCTCCCAGCTAAGTATTTCAACACATTTCTTACTCTTGAAGGTTTTTAAATAAAATCATAACTGTAAAGAATTCAAGGCTGTAATGATGTCCCTTGGAGTCAACTGAGTGGCAAATACACGTAGTTCTTACTCTATGATGTGTTTCCAGTAATTCTCAGTTCATCTCTTGAGTGTTCTGAGTTAAGCTCTTGAGACAGGTATGTGAATAAGTTGGATAGATCATCAATGTTCATGTGGAAATGCTACTAGAATGGTAATGCATTTTTTTAAGCTGTAACTTGAAAAATGGTAAAGATAACATGAGAGGGACCCAGAGCTTATAACTAGAGAAAGGAAACTGGGGACTTTGAAGGCTCTGCCTTCAAAAGTCAAAAGTTGATATTTCCCTTCTTTTTTCATTTCATTGTTGCTGGGATGGGGTTTGAACTCAGAGCTTTGGGCTTGCAAAGCTGGTGCTCTACTGCTTGAGTCATACCTCCAGTACATTTTGCTTTGGTTATTTTGGAGCCTCCCACGTAGCTAGGATTATAGGCATGAGCCACCAACACCTGGCTCTCCAAGTGGTTTTATTCCCCACATATTCTATATGAATAGAGCATTTCAGGAAGAACTGAAGTATTTTTAATCCAATTGGCATTCCACATCTAAATAATTTGTCATGATTTTCAAAAGTCTTACCTCCAGTGCAAGTTGATTTACTTTTGGAACTGTTACTCCAGGAAAAATATCTCCAATAATCTTTTCAAAAAGTGGGACATCTTCAGGAAGAAATTTTGATAGAGTAGCTTCTCTGACTGCCTCAATAATGACCAGAGCTTCACTTGCTTCACAAAGATTGTCACTGGTGTTGCTTTAGTGGTTGAAGAAAACCAGTATAAAGATAAGTCAGCAAATCTGATGACTACTAGTGTTCTTTTCAATGCCCTCTCCCCTGCCCTCACTGCCCACCAGCCATGTAGTATGTCAGGATTACTCAGGTCCCTGGCTCCAGGGACAGGCTCTGACTGGTCTATAACAATAAGAGGAACGCCAAATCCTAGTCACTGATTCAGGGATGGGCATAGTATAACTAAGGATTTTTAGTTGAAAATAATAGAAATGAATTTAGGCTAATACAAAATGAAAAAAATCCTGATTTCTTAAAAACCTCTAGGAGCACCTATTGCAGGTTATGTAGGTGGGAACAATGGCCAAAGTCACGCTGCAGAACCAGGCTGGTGAAGACGTGCATGACGTGACTGCCACCATCAGGTGATGCTCAGCAGTGCCTGTTGTCCCAAAGGTCATCGGACTTGCCTCTGCTACTGCTGTCCAATGACTGTAGACACTGCTGTCACATCACCAGAATGGGCTCTCTGTAGGTTCTCTTTCTGTTTTCAATTGCTCCAGGTAGCTGTGTCTGACGTGCCAAAGTTGTATGTCAGAGCCATTGCTACAAAGTAGCTTGGGAAAGGAACATAAACTCAGCTCTAGTCAATCAAATGCATGGCAGTCCTTGGACATGATGACTCAAGGGTAGACAGGGGCATTCTTTCAGAGTGAAGTTTAAGACTTCAGTTCAATGGTACGGATTATTAGAAGTCATATATTTTTGACCATTTATAAATCTTTTGTGGCTTTTGGCTTTTGAGTCTTAGTTTGTAAAGCCTCTGTGCTCTAAGGATATAAAGGACATTTTATTTCTTCAGATATTTTTGTGTTTTAATTTTTTTACATTTAAATTCTTTGATCCTTTTAGTGTTTATCTTGAAATGGTTTGTACCATGGTTCTGCCTTGATCTTATTCAGATGGCTGGTTAGTCTTCCTAGCACTACTCTTAAAGAGTTCTTCATGTCCCTGGGTTGGACTAAATGCCCAAAGCATGGGGTCCTATTCTTGACTTCCTGCTCTGTTCCAATGGCTTGCCTTTCTACTTCATGGACAGTGCCAAGATGTTTCAACTATCAAAGCTTACAACATGTCTTAATACACAGAGGGAGCATTCCCTTTCATTGCTCTTGTTTTCCGATATGTTTCTAGCTAGTTTTGTTTATTTTTCTATGTGAATTTTAGGATCAGTTTCCAAAAAAATCTTCTGGTATTTTAAATATTTCTATTCATAAATTAACATTGAATGTTTACGATGTTTAGTTCTCTCTCTCTCTCTGTTTTTGTGGTACTGGGGTTTGAACTCAGGGCCTCATGCTTGTTAGGCAGATGCTCTACTACTTGAACTAACATCCAGCCCAAATAGTTGTTCTTAACCACTGTACTTTTCAGTACTGGGGGTTGAACCAGGGTCTTACACTTGCTGGGCAGGTGCTTTACATTGAGCCACTCTACAAACCCTTTTGCACTGGTTATTTTTGCAATATGGTCTTGCTTTATGGCCAGCCCATCCTGGACTGTGATCCTTCTATTTGTGCTTCCCTGTATACCTAGGATGTTAGGTGCTCACCACTGTGCCCAGGTGTTGGTTGAGATGGGGGTCTCGTGAACTTTTTGCCCAAGCTGGCCTTCAGCTGCAGTCCTCCCAATCTCTGCCTCCTGAGTAGTTAGGATTACAAGATTGAGACATCACACCCAGCCTAATTTTTTTTTTTTTGTGGTACTGGGGTTTGAATTCAGGGCCCACACTTGCTAGGCAGGTGTTCTACCACTTTAACCATGTATCCAGTCAACCTATGTTATGTTCTCAAAGATGATATATAGTTGGGTATGGTGGCATATGCCTGTAATCTGAGCACTCAAGAGTCTGAGGCAGGAGGCTGGCCTAGCATACATAGTGAGATTCTGGCTCAAAAAATGAAACCAAAACCAAAAAAAAAAAAAAAGAGATATGTTACAAATGTGGTTTATTATGTTGGTTATCCACATTTCAGCCCTGTGATAAAGCTCTCCTCACGTGGGCTTCACACACTTCTGATACAGGTACATTTGCTCCTTGATATCCATGGGGAGGGGATGTTGGTTCTAGGACCTCCATGGACACCTATCTGTGGATGCTCCAGTCCCTTATGTAAAATACCTAGTGTTTGCACAGAACTTACACACATCCTTTCCAAACTTCAAGTGATCTCTCCATTGCTTAAAATAGCTAATACAATGCACATGCTATGCAAATCGCTGTTCTCCTGTACTGTTTAAGGGATAGTGACAAGGAAAAGAGTCTGCATATGCTCTGGACATATGCAATTTTTCCTCTCAGATATTTTCAGCCTGCAGTTGGTTGAATGTGGAACCTGTCAATATCAAGTACTGACTATATTTTCATGTAGGTTGTATATTTCTTATTAGATTAGTATTCTTTTCAGTGGGGTATTTTATTCTTCTGTGTCTTTCATTCTATGAGGAAAAGGTACTCAGTGACCATGTGCATCTTTTTCTTCCTCTTTTTTGATTTTTTTTTTTTAAACCGTACTGAGGATTGAACCCAGGACCTCATGCATGCTAGGCAAGTACTTCACCACTGGATCTACATCCCCAGCCCTTTTGTTTGTATTTTGTCTTTGAGGCAGGGTTTCATTAACTTTGCAGGGCTGGCCTCAAGCTCACAATCCTCCTGACTCCCCAGTAGCTAGGATTATTCATATGTGCCACCATGTCTGTATTTGTTGATATTTTTAAATAACTTCTACCACATTTTACTGTGACACTCTGGTGACCCTATGTTTTAATGTTTGCCTTCATTACTTAAAATTCTACAAATTATTTTCCCAGTGGTATATAACTCTCTTGTACCTAACATGAAATTTGAAATTGAACTGACCATTTAAATTCTTGCCTCTTCTTTTCGGCCATTAATAAAACTGCCTTCAAAGACCTCAAGCCAAAATCATAATGAGCCTATGAGACATAAAATATTAAAACATTTTGAGTTTTTAAAGGTTCTCAAGGAAAAATGGACCAATCTGAAGATAATTGCATAAAATATAAATTACTGATAATCTATGCTATGACGGTCAGCTGTATGAATACAAGAAACCCCAATCCATCTCTGCTTCCCAGGCCCTTGACTCTGTACCAGACTGCGGAATGCCTCTTTCTTCTTAACCACCCCTTTTTTTTTCTATACTGCCTGGGCTGGTTTCAGACTTCAGGCTCAAATGACCCTCTTGCATCAGCCCTTTGAGTAGCTGGGACCACAGGGATACACCCTGAGCACACCCTGAGCCAATAAAAGTCTTTTTTGAAAAGAAGAGTAACAAGTGTTAAAAAGGACCTGCATCTGAATTAAATTGCAAACTGGGAAAAGGAATTAGAAGAATGTTAAAAAGAGGATCACTTTGGAGGAAATGTGATTTGCTGTCCAAACCATTTTGGGTTGTAAACAAATTCATATTCTGTAACAATAATCTTCAAAGTATGGTACTCAAACCAGCAGCATCAGTAAAGCCTGAGGATGTCCTGAACTGCAAGTTCCCCAGTGCCACCTCAGACACAGAGAACTAGAAACGTGAGGTGAGGCCTATGCTGGTACTAACAAGTCCTGCAAATTATTCTGATGTACAGTAAACTTTGAGAATGCTATTCTAGATGCTAAGTTCGTTCCTTGAATGGAGAAGGAATCTACAGTTAAAGAAACAGGTGTGCCATCACTCTCTCCAGATCTCAGAGAAAGGCCTGGAATCATGACTGACTGTGCATTTTGCCTTACAGACAAGATGGTATATGGACTTGATGTGTTGATAGGAATGTGATATGGTCCGAGGTCATTCCTGGAACAGTACCAGAAAAGTCTTATTTTTATATAATCACCTTTAACTTTTTTTTTTTTATTTTGGTAGTACTGGGGTTTGAACTCAAGGCTCTACCCCTTGAGCCAGGTCCCCATAACTTTTTGCTTTAGTTTACTTTTCAGATAGGGCCTTCCTTTTGCCCATTGCTAGCCTGGGATCATGGCCTCTCTCCACCTTCCATCTAGCTAGGATTACAGATGTGTACCACCATACCCAGTTGCTTTTTGAGACAGGGGTCTCATTAAACTTCTGCCTAGGCTGGCCTTAAATCTCCATCCTCCCATCTGTGCCTCTCGTGCAGCTGGAATTACAGTCATGTAACACCACATTTGGCTGCCACCTTTATATATTTTGAGAAAAGCGGTTCCTTACCTGTTGTGAGAGCTGTTTGTTAGCTAATTCATAAAGGTTAACTAGCTTTCCAGAGAGTGATTTTGCAGAATCGAAGCCAAATGCAAACAGTATTATTTCAGCAATCATTTGATAGTTGGGCATTATCATTACCACTGGGCGAAACAGAGACTTTAAGTTATCTGGGAGCTCTACTCGACCTCCATACCTTAAAAAGAAAAACAGTAACAATGACAATAGTGACAACATCAGCAACAAACAAACCAACCCACTACTTCCCAGTTTTTCAAATGAGGAACCTCATAGCATATCTTTTCCCCCAGAGTAGTTTTTACAAGGTGGTTTTTCCTGTACCTTTCATCTCAAGAGTGTCCTGGTTTATTGTATTTCTTCCCATGGTTCACCTCACATCAGCTCCCTGATGGCCTGGACTAATTTGGAGTTTGATCAGACATTTAATAACACTACCTGGCCACCACATTCTTACACTCTTGACACTTTTGTGGGTGTTCCTGCCTGTGTCTGACTTGTGACAAATGTTGACCTTTCTCTTTCTTTCTGGATGTTCATGAAGGGGAAATGCACCTTGGTCAGAATCTTGCTGTGAGCTAATTCATGTGGACAAGTGCAGAGCTGCTAGGAAGTGTCTCTTCATAAGTGGTACAGGGGTTAGAAGGGCTCTGGGATGAATGCACTGTGTCAGACAACTCCACTGTGAACAGGATTTAAGAAAAGGGTTTTGGTCTGTGTTTACTTCCAGCAGACTCACTGATGCTTACCCAGGGTTCATAGTGATAAACACTGCACAAGACATGTTGATACGCATTTCTTTTCCATCCAGTATAAACCTACAAGACATTACAATATTCATCACTTTAACAGTTTTCTGTAGGCCAAAATATGTTCAAATTACAGTGAATTTGGGAATGTTCTTAAGGCTGTTACATTTAAATCCAAACAGAGCATACTAGAAAAAGCAGTAAGAGAGAGAGGAGAAAGGAGAGGTTCATTTTGAGCCAGTGATGTGACCCTGCTGGGATTCAGATGTACTGGGTCTTGTCTGAGTACGCTGGAGGAAGGGAGACTCCTTGATACTTCCAGAAGGTTCCATCTGGATGGTTGATCAACATAGGGAGGAACTAGGAATGACCCTTGGGGAGAAATGGAGAACAGAATGGAGTATGCCCAGCACCTGTTCCTGCTTCAGATGGACACAGCCTGTCTCCTTCCCAAATCTCCTTTCCTAGGTAGGAAGCCTTGGGACCACTGTGACATAAACCCTTGGCTGGCCATAGTGGAGTGTATTCAGCACCACTGGACAAGATGATGGAAGAAACTTGAGGTGATTTCTTGGATTTCTTTGGCTGATACCAAAGATAGTAGTCAAAACGTGAGGAAAAGAAAGGTGGCAGAACCTGGGAAGCCCCAGGCACAAGAGGAGAAACTGCAGAGGCTGACAAGAGTGGTGCGACTCAACAGTGTGAGCAGGACTGTTGCTCAAAGCAAAGCTGCAGCTAGCATCCATGAGCATGAGTTAGAAATGTTAGGTTAGAACAGAAAACTTAAACCCACAAACTCATGTTTGTCCATAAAGTAGATCATGTGAACTCCTTAATTTATCTGAGGAGAAGAAAATGTAGCTTATGTCACTAGACATTAGTAATCTGCACCTTCTTTCAGAATGATGAGACAAGAGGGGTTTCAGGTATGTGGTCAGTGTGACTTTTCTTTTTTTAAAGGCAGTAGAATTAAGGAAAAAAAATCCACAATTTTTGTTTGGTTTCTTCAAGTGGAATTACTCTAAGATGAAAATGGAATAGAGACTTTAAGATGGAAAAAAAAAAGTAACTAGAATATATATGCATCCATGCTCTGGTAGTTCCAGAGACTGTCCCAAGGTTGGGCCCTCTAAGTTGATGTGCAAGTCAGAGTTACACAGTAGATGCTGGGTATCTGTGAGTACAAGGTCCCCAGGAGACACCGATGAGGAAAGTCCATGGATGCTCAGGACTTACAGAGTTCAGTGCTGCACTGAAGATGCTTGATTTGTTTTCCCCATAACACCACCCAGCTTCCACTAAAGACATGCTGCCTTTCAACATATCTAAAATTTTCACTTTATCACTTAAATCAAGCACATTAGGCTCCCTTTTTTGGCTTGGGAGGATTATCATAACTTTTACACTGTTTTGGGGGCACTATTTGCTTTGGGGAGCCATATTTTCACAAAATTAAGGGCAGGGAAACAGCAGATCACACAACAATTTAAACACAATGACAATAGCACAGGACTGACTGAGAACTTCTCTATATCAACTGAGCTGTGGAATTTGTGTAGGAATTTCAAATTTTTGTATTTGAAATTTTTTTATTAAAAAATTATTATTATTATTATTTGACTGCATTTGGTCAAAACCATGTATAATAAATTCAGGATAAGGTAGGCTTACTGTATGTATTTCACATTATTTGCCAAACAAAGGAAACATTTAAGGTTGGTGCCATTCTTTTATGTATGTGCTTTAAAACAGAAAGCCAGAAGACCCAAACAGTTATTGCAGAAAAGTACTTAGTAGCAATTACACACGGTGACAGACCCTGCCCAGAAGGTGTGAGTACCTGACAGAGTAGCTATCTTTGGCAACCTTGATCTGCAGGATTTGCGAGGCGGTGACAGAGAGGACTTCCACGTCTATGAGGTTGAACTCGTCAAAACAGCACCAGGCGCCTGATTGAACTAACCCGAAGAAGAACTTTCCCACTATCTTTGAAAAGCAACAAAAGACTGATGACAGAAGTTACTATAAAAATGAAACTTTTTACTGGGATCTTAAGTTGAAATGAATTCTTCCTATCTTACCATACGAAGCCAGTGCCTTCTGCATTTCCTCCCTGCAGGCATTTTTATGGTTCATAGCCACCTCCTGTGAGAGCCTGACCCCAGGTAGCCAGCCACTCAGGCAACAGGGACAGAGCAGGGGACATAGCAAGTTCAGGCAGCTGGGACACAGTAGGGGACACAGTGGGGACAGAGGTGATACAGAGGGCTCAGGCAGGCAGGTTAGGGAACTGCACCCTGGGTACCACAAGAAATCTGAGCAGGTTAAAAGGCCGCTTGAAAATCTACTCATTTATAAATGTTAGCAAGAAAAAGAAAACAGCAGAACAAAACCACCATCAACAAAACAACAAATCCTGGGCTGAAGACAAGTGGAGACCTTGAGGTTTAGGCAGTTGTGCAGCAAGATGGAAGAGGAAAGGAAAGAGGAAAAAGCGGGAAGATCCTTGGCTTGGCTGGACAGAGAATCTGCCTCCTCCCACCCTAGAAATCACATCTGTCTTTATTTCAAATGTGAATCTTTTCTTTATCATGGGATTTTTTTTTTTTTGGCTTTCATTAACATACAAAACAAGTTGCCAGGCTGGAGAGGAAGCTCAGTGATAGAGCATCTTATCTATGATCCAGAACCTGGTTTAACCCCCAACACCAGAAAAAACAAACAAAACCCCAAATTATACTGTTTTGAAACGTGAGTTAAATTTGTAACAGACAGGTTCAGAGGTTCACAAAATTTCAATAACAAACTTTCAGGCTGTATTAGACTTCTTAGAAAATTTATAACCAAAACAAAACAAGATTGACATAAACTTGTAATTATCATCTATGAAAAGTCTCACTTTTTACTGTTAATCATAATAATCTCTTTGACTTTAACAATCACTTTTTCAGTAAATAAATGTATAGGGTGATGGCTTAAATTTGTATTAGTAAAGCAGTACTCTTGTTTTAGGTATTCATGCTCTATATTAGAATTTGTCTTAAAAGAATCCCTATTGTCAAAAAGACTGAAAACCATTGTTCAGAGTTCAGCTGAACTAAAACAAAGTTATACAATGCTTAAAGTTTCTATTACAATATTCTAAGTTTCTAGTCTACCCTATTAGCTAAAAGAATGAATAGCATTTGTAGTTTTATCAACACTTAATATCTCTAAGTTATTTTTCTTATTTTTTCATTCTTCAGTGAATTACTTTATATGTACAATATTTTTTGTTGAGTGCATATGTTTCATCTTTACCTTATAATCCAAATCTTCAAAACAGTTGAAGACTACACAATGTTTACCTAAGGCCTGGAAAACAAAAATATTTTACTATAGTTCTTGAACTATGATACAAAATAATGTTACAACTGCTAGAGTAGTGAAATGCCTTTATTAAACTTTCAGGAAAAAAATTTACAGTATAGAAAGATGAATTATATACCAAATTAGATTCACTGAACTCATTATAGTATAAATATACATATGGTTTTATAGGATAGCTGATCAGTTCATGCAGCATTAAGGTCATGTTTTCACACAAATCTACATACTTGTAATCCCAGCTATCCTGTAATCCCAGCTGCATGAAGCATGGGCTATGAAGAGGCAGTTAGGGGGACCCTATCTCAAAAACAAATAAACACACACACACAAGTTCTGAGGGTGTGGCTTAAGTGGCAGAGCCCTTGCCGTCTATGTGTGAGGCTCTGGTTTCAATTTCCAGTACTGCAAAATTAATTAATTAATGAATTAATGAACTGTGTAAACTAATGAATGTCCTTGGTAATCACAATGAACATCTTCACAGCAGGAATGGTGTTAAAGCTTGTATGACAGAAAAACAAAACAGCTTTGCTGCAGACTCAGAGTCACTCACCTTTGCCAGGTCTTTAATAGTCTCAGTTTTCCCTGAACCTGCAGGGCCAGCTGTGCAACCGCCCAGGTTCAGGCTCAGGGCTCCGGTGAGGGTCAGCCAGCAGCGGTCAGTGAGGGGTGTGATAACCAGCCTCGGGGAGCAGCCCAAGTACTCGTAGCCATAAACGAAGCTGGCATCTCCTTGAGACACGTAACACAACTTGCGTTTTTCATTCCACTTATACTGCAAGTGCCTGAAAGTGATTTGAATGCTCATACATTATTTTTTCACATGTAGAAACATAATCAAGTTTAAAGATGGAGTAGTAATTAAAAGACAAACAGAAACCAGAACAGTAAAATAAACTTTGCTGATGACTGCATTAGACGTGGCTATGAGAAATCCTAAGACTGCAATTATAAGCACTCTTCACTCAGAGACCAGTGGCCTTGCTGACTCCTGCCTTGGGTGTGATGTCAGGGGTGCCTTCTACCTTAATGCACACTAGCGTCCAACACCAGTGCAACCCCTACAAGGGCACCTGAGTGAAATGATACGCAAGGATCAAAAAAAAACTGAACTTTGGAGAAACTGATTTCTGGCGTGAGGATAACTTTTCTCCTCCAAGGCTCTGACTGGACTCTGATCTGCTGCTAGCTTTATGGGAATGCATTCATCAGCAGTGACTCACTTCTCAAAATAGACACTATCAAACACTCTGATAAATATCAAACACTGATATTTTTTAAGCATCAAAACAATGTCATGAGAAAAGTGGTCTCTATGCGGTTCAGTAGTTTAGCACTGTTCCGACTGAATCCACAGTTACTGAAAGTCTGACACAGCGCTGGGCCTCCTCTACACTTCTTTCCTTCCACTTGCAATTTATGTTATAGTAGTGTAAATTGTGTAGCTGCATGCATATACTCATAAGCCCTCTTAAATGCTTTCTGCAACAACAGGGCAGATTATAAAGAAATCTAAAAAAGTGAGTAAATTTTCAAAATAAAAATTAAAAAATAAAAGTAATTTAAAAATGTGTAAACTGCCACCAAGTGAAATCTTAGATAATAGAAAATAAAACCATCAGCAAAAACAGAGAAGACCTTTGAAAAACTTCACGTTTAATACAAGAGTCTTACTCTCACTCTCTGCCTCGCCAACATGCCTTCATGCCTTACTGACTGACTGCAGGTGGGAGAAGGACGGGGAGCTGGCTGCAAAGGTTCCCATTTGCATCCTCAACCTGATCTGTTCTACAACTGACACTAGGGAAAAGAGGCAGGAGGGAGGCCTCCCTGGCTTAGTGGCCCACAAAAGCCAACAGATCAGGAAGACCAAGCAGGAAGAAATGAAAATGAGGGGAGGGACAGTAGGAAAGGAGGAGGAACGTGCAGGAATGTGACACTACAAGGTGGCAGCAAACCCCTGAAAATGACAGCTGGAGAAGTTACTGTCTGTAGCCATGCTTTATAGCTACCCACCTTGTCCACTCAAAATCCTCGGCATGGAAGATATCTTTAAGTAGCAAATCTACCACAATATCTCTGCAGTAGACATAAAGGGTGAGCAATGCCTCTAGAACACTTTTTGCTCTCAAGTTACTAGTGTTTATCACAACGAGCTCTGCAATTTCTTTTAGATGATTCATCACATCAATGTGGACTTTCTCCAACTCTTCTTTTGAATGAGAACTCTCAAAACTTTTGATACAATCATTGTAAAACATGATCTGGCTCTGAAAAAAAGAAAGGGATACATATTGAAACATACATTTTGTTTTAAATTGAAATATGTTTTCATGAAGTATATGTGATACGCTATGTATGAGTGCATCTGCATGTGTAAAAGAGAAACTTGAACATTTGTATGTATTTCAAAGTTAAGGACTGAATTTTGATTGATGCTGATGGGGGCCTTATTCACTTATACTTTCTAAAGCTCACATTCTTAACCTATCATCACTAAGTAATTGCCTAGGGACAGTAACAATGGTAGAAAACCCCAAGTTGAGATTCCTACAGCTTTCTACATTAAACTCAGAAGTAACATGCTCAGATCACATTATGTATAATTGTAGATTTCAAAGAAAATTATATAACTTCTGTTATTTGATCCATCTTTCATATTCATTCTTCCCATAAATACCAGAGTTATTTTAGAAAGGCAGCTGGATTAAGGTCAGTTTGACTCTGGAAGTTAAAGGAGGGTGAGACACAGGAGAGCTTAGGGGTTTCTGGCTGCACGACAGGTGGACTGTGTACTCTCTACAGGAAGAGTGTGTTGTGGGTGAGGGGGAATACTGGATTCTTTTGGAGATGTGCTAATATGCCTAAAAAGCATATTAGATACAAAGTTATACAGTGGGGACAATTAGCATAGAGGCAATACATATTGTGGTGAGATTTTTCTCAGACCAAGGTAAGAGAAACCAGGTGCATCAATCAGCATTCTTGGTTGTGTGCAACAGAAACTGTTTTTCACAGAATGTTTAAGCCTCACACTCAGCAGATCCATCGAGCTAGAGATGGCCTGGGAAGCTGGGGGAGCAAAACCACAGGTCAGGTCAGGTCACAGCAGAGTCACATGCTCCTGTACTGCTGCCCGTCAGACAATTCTTCAAGAACATCCAGTTTTCATTTTCTTATTTACTTATAGAAGAATATTAGTTAATAAGTCTTGGATAAGTCCGTATTGAAATTCTCTCACATACAGACATCTCATTGTCCCCTCTCCCCCAAAAATGTCTTTTATACTTCTTCAGAGACAACTCCTACCTATGTAACACAAGCCACAGGGCAAGAGCAAGGGGAGTGGCTGATTGCATCCTGGGATGGGAGATTAGCACATGCTGGAAAGACTTGAGCAAAAGTGTGTTCAGCGAATGAAGCTAACGCTTACCATAAAGCACTTCTGCAAATACTGCAAGCTTCCTATTGTTAAGCATGTTTGGAGCACCAAGAATTTGGGGAAGATCTTTTCTTAATAGACCAGAGTTGATCACCTGAATTGATTAAACTAGAGAAATGCGCAGATCAGTTCATAATTTTGTCACCTTTGTATAGAACTGCTTAAACAAGTCCTTCAGCTAAAGACTTGAGATTTGTTCAGTCAAGTGGATAGCAAAAGGGACAAAAAGATTTGATTGGAAAAATTTTTGTCTACAGTCCCAGATTATTTTCACAAAGACTTGAAAATTGTGTTGAGTCAAGACAAAGTAAAAAGATGTCAAGTTACTTTAAAATGGAACTACAGTATGTTTTAAAAGTACTTGATAGTGGTAACTCATGGCAACATGGTTTTTATCTTCACCGGTAGTTTTCAGGAAAACTACTGTCTTGGACTGGGGGCATGGCTCAAATGGTAGAATGCTTGCCTAGCAAGCTGGAGGCCCTGAGTTAAACCACCAGTACAAAAAAAAAAAAAAAAAAAAAAAAAGGTCAGTGGGACCCTATGTGGGAGGCATAAATAAGAGGATTACCTTTGGAGGCTGACCTAGCAAAAAACATAAGATCCTATTTAGAAAATAACTAAAGCAAAAAGGGCTGGAGGCACAGCTCAGGTGCTAGAGTGCTTTTCTAGCAAGCCCTAGGCCCTGAGTTCAAGCTCCAGTATTGCCAAAGGAACAACAACAAACACCTATTGTCTCAGTCTGTCTCAGTGGTTCGTAATTGACTGTAAAGAGTTATCAGACCTCTCCAGAGCCTTCGAGAATTAATGATTACTCCCTCTTTTTAATGACCACCCTATTTTTTCTAGAGAAAGGTCAAAGATCAAAGAAACAAAGAGTCTGCTCTTCTCCCTAGCTTCCATGGCCACTCTCAGAATCCATCTCCTCCTCCCCCTCTTCCTCCTCCTCCTTTATTACTCTTTTTTCAGTCCTTTCTATGGATTTGCCTTCTTTTGGCTGTTTTTTAAAATGCTGATGTTCGTGGGTCTTTCCTTGTCCCTCTTCCCTTATTTTATACATTCTGCTGGGGGAAACTGTGCCTCTGGGGCTAGCTTTTTTTTTTTTTAACAGCCTCTCAAAAAAAGCTGCCAATTTTGGCTTCCTAATTTTCCTTCTCTCTTTTGACCTGCAGAAAAGCAGTATTAGCACTAGCAATATGCATATACTAGGCAGAATAATGGCTTCCTACAAAGACATCATGTCTTAGTCCCAGGAGCCTGTGAATGTTACCTTACATGCAAAGGGATTTTGCAGATATGATTACATTAAGAGTCTTCAGATGGAGGGATTGCTCTGGATTATCTGAGGGGGGTCCAAGATAATCACATGTATCCTTAAAACCGGAGAATTTTAGATGTGATTACAGAAGAAGGCCAGAGAGATGTAATATGGCTGGCTTTAAACGTGCCAGAAGCAGCCACAAGCAAGGAATGCTGGTGGCCTCTAGAAAGCACACAGCCTTGCTGACACTGATTTCAGCTCAGGGAGGCCTGCATTGGCCTTTTAACCTATAGAGTTCTGAGAGCAAATTCCTGTTGTTTTAAGCCACCAGATTTGTAACTTTTTAATGACAGCAATGGGAAACACAAAAATGATTTATGATTTATTTTCATTTAATATGATATTTTGGAAAATTTTAAACTACAGAAAAGTTGAAACTATACAGTGACTAATCCATAGACCCACTACCTATATTTTATAATTAACTTTTGGTTATACTTACTTGATTGCTTATCTATCTACACACATCCACCTTATTTTTAATGCACTTCAAAGTAAGCAACAAGTATTAGAACCCTTCATAATGATTCATTTTCCAAGTTTTTGCTTTCTTAGCAATGCAGCAACACTAGCCACTCTCCTACACACGTCAGAGCAGCGAGCTTACCACAGTGAGGACTACCTGTCCTGGATGAGACAACACCCACAGGGAAAAGATCTGGTGGTTCCAGTCTTCGACACCTTGACTGACAAATCTACAAACAGAAATGCATTTACATCATCCCTTTCTAACCATGGACCATGGCCCCTCAATGACAGGCATGACAAGCCTCAGCAGAGTCCCTCAAATGTCTGCTGCTCTCATGGACAAGGAGTCATGTGCCCATGCAGAGTGCACACTCTGACTTTACCTGTACTTTCTACTGAGGTCGGCTACCTTCTGGGACAGTAAAAATATATGCTAAATTAGAAGAAGATATATTAGCTTCAAATTGCAAATGTCATCAAGGGCAAAATCCGTATTTAAAATAATTTCTGCAAAGTGAAATACCGGGCTGAAATTGCCAGTTAATTTTAACAGTAAAGCCCCACATTTAGTTTTAAATTAATTGTGATGGAGAAGACAGGATTTTTGAAAAATAAACAGACCATTTAAGACCGCAGTTGATATATGCAAACATTACATGTTTTGATGTTGTCATGGTATTTTTTAATAGAGACGTTTTAAGTTTCTTTATAGTCAAACTGATCTTCTGACTTATGGTTTCCTTATTACTGACATTTATAAATCTTCAGCACTGAATTTCATTAACTTTTTAAAAGTTAATGAATAGCTTTACTGTTTTACATGCTAATCTTAAATTCATTTACATATTACTTGAATATTTGAAATAAAGTATTGACACTTTAAAATTTTTTGTGACTGCCAATTCTATCTATTATTATTTTCTTATTTATCATTTCTATAAATGAGAAGTATGTATATAACAACTTTTGTTTTGAAATGGGATTTCAGTATATGTAACCAAGGTTAGACTTGAACTCATGATCCTCTTGCCTCAGCCTTCCAGGTGCTGGGATTATGGGTGTGACCTCTCTATCTGGGAGTTCCATATCCATGCATTCAAACAACTGCAGATTGAAAAGCTGTGTCTCTACCTAACATGTGCATACTTTGCTTCTGTCATTCCCCAGACAATACAGTACAGCAACTATTCACATGGCATTTACATTGTTGGGTTTACTAAGTAATCTAGAGATGACTGTATTTCAAAAGCATTGTCAATGGGAAATGCATCTTTTATCAATTAGAATGACTGTTTCAGTTAATGCCTTTGGCATTAAATTTTATTTTCAAATATGGTTTTCATTTATAGCTTCATGAAATAGCTTTAATACTTTCATTTGTAATTTTCATCACAATGTTGTATCTCTCAAACAAACACATTTCTTTTGACAAAATCTTTTAATTCATTTGTAATTATGATGTTTATTTTAGGCTTTATTTATTTCTCTATTTTTCTGTGTCTCTCTGTCTCTTTTTTTCTTTTCTTTTCTTTTTTTTTTTTTTTTTTTTGTGATGTTAGGGATGGACCTAGGGCCTTGCATATGCTAGGCAAGCACTCACCACTGATCTATATTCCCAGCCCTTGGTTTCCATTTTGATGTATTTTTTTGTGTGTTTACACACAGAAGCACACCCAAACATGCTATATTTTCTATATTTTATTTCATCCAGGGTTTTGGAAATATTTATTCTGCTCATAGATTCTCTGGGGAAAATTGATCAAAATTTTTGAATTACCAATAATCCTATCTTCATCCTGAACCATATCCTTTGAATGATAGAAAATATACAGAAAAATAAATATAAGTGTGTCTTGGAGAACAACAAGGTATGCTCCAGGACATCAATAACCTGGACAACTTCTAGCAGATGGAGAGCAAATTGGGATTGAATTATGGAAAGAAGAGTGGAGAAACCAGGAAATCCACTGCCAGCTGTTAGCAAATGTGGGAGGGAGCCTTGAGATATCTGTGATAATTAATCAAGAGAGAGCACGGGGCACATGTTGGTAATTCCACTACTCAGGAGGCTGAGGCAGGAGGAGGGCAAGTTAGAAAGGAAGGGAGGGACGGAACTAGAAAGGAAAAGAAATGAGACACAGGAAGTTGACCTTGGCATTCTCCAGTTATAGGCAGAATATTTAAAGCAGTGCTGGAATGAAAGGCCTAGTGTCACCTGAGAGGTGGAAAGGGACTGTCACACACTAGACGACAAGCCACTCACAGGCCAGTCCTGCAGCCCTGCACATCAGCTGCAGCCACTGCAGTGGGCTGCTATATTTAGAGCCAACATTTGGTTATAGGAGAAGAGGGGCTCACCAGTACAATCAAGAATAGACCACCAAGAATAACCAAATAGTTCAGAAAAAGAGCACAAACACCTACCAAGTGAAAATTTGAAATGAAGAAGCAGTGACAACAAAGAAGTTAACTTTGAAGCAATTTCTTCATCAATTCTCTGAGACATCTCCTGTGCTTTAATCTTACAATTGGTCACAACCAACAACCACCCAGCCAGGTGATTGCTGCACCTGGGAGGATGAAAATCCTGTTGATGTTTTCTGGTGCGACAGACTACTGCCAAAGTGCGCTAACATTTGAAGAAATAAAATGACACCTCCAAAGATATTAATGCAAGTATGCATTTAAAAGTCAAGAAAACATTGCTGGGATAGAAACTATATCTAAAGATCCAATAATGTGTTACTAGAACCCTCGCTAGATTTGCGGAATTGCAGAATGGTCATGTGGGGAACATGAAAATGGCGATTTTTCCCAAACCCAGCATAAAGGGGCAAAAACTCCTGCTTTGCTATGTTCACCAATCTTAAACTATTATATCCTGACCTTTACATGCTAAAAGGCCTGCCTTTAGCCCTGGCTTCACATTTCAATGAATTCCCCGATTTTACCCTTCCTCCTCTGGGGTGCTTGGGAAGGTTTTCTTTATGTAGTGCTCTGCTTTGTTCAATAAACCCAGTTTTGTCTTATCAACAAATGGTTTTAGTGACATTTTGGTGAGCTAAAATTCAACCAAATGAATTTGAATTTGGAGTTAATTCCATGCTCAGCAAAGCTGACATTCAAGTATGAGGGAAAAAAAAAATGTGCCACCCACAAATACTTTCTGAAAAAATTTCCTTGAGGACACAGCAAAATGAAAATAAAATGTGGGCCTATAATGAACAAAAAACAAGATGAAAATTAATAAGCCCAGATAATTATTAATCCATACAAGAGAACAAATAGCAACCTGGAATAAAATGCCAAATGATTTCAATATGGGAGCAATGATGAGAGGGAATTATGAAGTGAAGAATGTATTGGGTGTGTTAAAATGTTAATGTTCTGTAGAAGATGTTTATGACTTTCACACAACTATGCCAAAAAAAAAAGATCTAACAATCTAACAGTAAGATATGAAAAAAAAATAAACACCCCAAAGCCATCAGAAAACATGATGTTGATGTTAAGAATGAGTCAAAATGTGACAGTAATCAAAATGTCAAAATGAGTGTTGAAAAGACAGCAGGTTGTTCACTACATGAGCAGGAAATGAAAGTTGGAAAGTTACTTGAAGAGTGTAGTGAAGGGCTGTGAGCAGAGGTGAGGGCAAGGGTAAGGGGACCCAATGGTGAGGTACTGGGTCTGGCAACACCAGGAAGTTACTACCAGCCCTGGGCCCAAAGGAGTGAGGAGAGTGAGCAATTTCACTGGAACCTGGTGAAGGCGGGAGACTTAGGGAAGGGTATACCTGCAGGAAGCCATTGCTTTCAGTAAAGGAAGACAGTTACTGACAAAACCCTAGTGAGGCAAAGAGCGAGCCTTGTTTTTGCCTTAGCCATCTGAAAACCAGAGGGTAAAGGAACCTATGCCATGGGCATGAATGTCCCAAATACATATGAGACAAAAAAGCTGAGAATGGATCTTCCAGGTATACAGAATAAAACCATTGATAAAATACTTTTTTTCTATGCATAGAAAAAAATTTTAAATTAAAAGTAGAATTCATTTTATACTTGATGCAAAAAATGTTAACATGGCACAGAAATGTTAAAGCAACACTGATCCGAATATCTGTGATCATGGGAACAGTATTATGCAAGCACTGAATGCTTAAAAGAGCATTGAAGTTAAAAATTAACTGGTACAAAAACTGATAATACGGACTAAACATACACTCTACTAAGGAGGTCTATATAAAACAATACAGCATGAAAATACATGGTGAATGTTAAAATAAAGAAGAGAAATTGGCAAACTTTAAAAAATGTAGGAAATGTTTAATAAGGTTTTCTAGAAATATTTAATAAACTTTTCTAGAAAGTAGTGTGGGCTAAAAATGATCAAGAAAACACAAGGAAAGTTTAACATCACAAAATTTATAAATGTAGTTCACAATATTCATAAGTTAAAGGCTAAACTGTATTTGATTTTTTTAATAGATTTTATTTATAGAAACTGCAAACTGGTAGATGTGAGCTACAAAGCAGAATGGCAGGTCCCAATTACCCCTCTTCCCATGCACCAACTGAACAGCTACCCGTGGTCAATTCCTTCTGAGAGAATGCCAGAAAGGAGGGAAAAACTGCTGCATGTTGACAGTGGAGAAAAGAACCACATCAAAGTGGGTAGGAAAAGAGGTGACACTTGCACACAAGCTCCCCCTTGAGCACCGTACATAACCAGGAAGGAATCTCAGCTCCCTGTTTCTTCCTGAGGACAAGTTTGCGTACAGAGTTACCCAAATCTATGCCAGAGTTTGGTTTTTAAACAACCTTGCTTGTACAAGCAAGGATTTATCATTGGAGAACAAAAATACAAATCTAGATCCAGGAAGTCCAATGAATACCAGATAGGACTAATCCAAATGAGCCCATACCAAACCAAGAGACAGTATAATCAAATTGTCAAAAACTAAAGTCACAGAATTTTGAAGACAGCAAGGGAGAAGTGACTTGTGACATACAAGGGAATCACCATGGAACAATCAATGGATTTGTTAGGAGGCTAGAGGGAGTAAGATGATATATTTTAACAGCTAAAAACAAACAAACAAAAAAAACCAACAAGAATGCTATACCCAGAAATCCTGTATTTAACAAATGAAGGGGACACAAAAATTTTCTTAGACCATCAAAAGCTAAGGGAATTTATCACCATGATGCCTACCTTACAAGAAATGCTAAAAGGAGTTCTTCAAGATGAAGAAAAGTAGGGTGTGGTAGGGCACACCTGCAGTCCCAGTGCTTGGGAGGCTGAGGCAGAAGGGCTGCAAATTGGAGGCCAAACTGGCTACATAGTGATCCCCTGTCTCAAAAAACAAAAAGATGAAGGAAAAGGACAAAGAATATGTGAAATGAATAATAATATGAAAACACATCAAAGTATAAAACTCACAGGTAAAGTGAGTACATGGTCAAATTCAAAATATACTCTAATACTGTAATAGTGCTGTGGAAATAAATGTTGTATCTACTATGAAGGTTAAAAGAGAAATATTAAAAACAACTATAGCTGCAATAATTTGTTAGATATACAAATTCTTAAAAGAAATTGTGACATCAGAAATATAAAATCTGGGGGAAAATAGGGTAAAAGTGTAGAATTACTGTATGTGATGAAATTTAAGTTATTAGCATAAAAACTGCCTGCTAGAGGTAAAAGATATTTTATATATCTTATAGTTACTAAAATTCCAAAACTGTAGTAGAAGCATAAAAGGTAAGAAGGAAAGATTAAAAGCATATTGCCACAGAAGAATCAAAACCCAAAGGACAAGAGCAACAGAGGAAGAGAGGAAGAAAGGGAATCAGAAAACAATCTCTAAAAATCTTACCTATTAATAATTATTATTACTTTGAATATAAATAGATTAAATTCTCCAATCAAGAGACAGAGTGGCTGAATGAAATTTAAAAAAAGATCCAACTATTTGCTACCTATAAGAGATTCACTTCACCTTTAAGCACACACATACAGTGAAAGTGGAAAATTACAAATGAGACAAAGAAGGTCATGATACCATGAAAAAAGGGTTAACTAGCCAGGAGGATATAATTATATGATTACAATTACTCAACACTGGAGAGATAGACTGAAATTCAGTAATAGTAAGGGACTTCAATATTCCACTTTTAACAATGTTCAGATTATCCAGATGGAAAGTCAGAAAATAAGCATTGGATGTGAACTTTAGACTAAACAGACAATACTTAACACTTCAGCAGAATGCACATTCTTCTCAAGCACACATGAAACTTTCTCTGGGATCTATCATATATGTAGGGGTGCTTTTTGTTACTATGATTATATTATAAAGGACAGCTTTATAAAGAAGAGGTTTTTTTTAAAACTCAGTTTTGGAGACTAAAAGTTCAAGCAGTGTAGTGGGCTGGCTCTGGTGATGGTCCATGGCAGATCGCAGAAGTATATGTGAGAGGAAAAAATCACATGTTCTGACAGGAAGCCAGAGAGCAATCAGGGGTCAGGCTCACCTTTAGAACAACTTGCTATCACAGAGGCTCAGGGAGCCCACAGAGATATCTTAACCCCATCTGGAGAAGTTTCCTAGTGACCTAAGGACTTCCCACTAGGCCCACCTCTTAAAGGCTCTATCGCCTCCGCATCACCAAACTAGGGACCAAACTAGCTTCCAACATGAATTCTTGGGGGACACACTAAACCATATCCAACCCATAGCAATACAGTAGGCCCACAAAATAAGCCTGGGCAAATTTAAGAAAATTGAAATGATATGAAGTATACCTTTCAACCACAGTGGTACAAAGCTAGAAATCAACAACAGGAGAAATCCTGAAAAATTCAAAATTAGGTAGAAATTAAACAGTTTCCTTCTGAGCAACCAATAAGCTAATAAAAAAATCTTAAAAAAGGGGACATTTTAAAATGGCTCCCGAGAAAAAGATGGAAACACAACATAACACACTCACAGGATGCTGCAGCCAAAGCAGTGCTAAGAGCAAAGTTCATCAGCAGTACATGTTCACATCAAAAGAGCAAAGAAAGGTAGGTCTGGGGGAGGCATAAGGAAAGGGTGAAGGAGGGTGAATATGGTGGAAGCAGTATGTTTTCACATATGAAAATGGAATGATGAGACCTGTTGAAACTGTTCTAAGAAGGCGGGGAGGGGGATAATGGGTAAAGAGGCAGAGGTGAATCTAAGATACACTGTAAGCACTTTTGTAAATGTCACAATGTACCCCAAGCACAACAATAATATGATAATAAATCAATAAAGAAGAGAAAGACCTCAAATGAACAACATAAACACTTCAAAGAACTAGAAAAAGAGCAAACTAAGCCACAAGTCAATAGAATAGAGCATATACAATATGAATATGAAGCCATACAATAAAGTCAAATACAATAGAGCATAAGTAAATGAAATAGAGACTAGAAAGATAATAGAAAAAAATCAGAGAAATTAAGTATTATTTCTTTGAAAAGATAAATAAAATCAACAAATCTTTAGCCAGATTAAGAAAAAAGAGAGACAACTCAAATAAATAAAATTGGAAAAAAGGGGAGATGCTTTTATACCACAGAAATACAAAGGGTTGTAAGATACTACTATGAACAATAATTTGTAAAAACTGGATAGCCTACCCTCAGCTTCCTGTCTAGCTGGGATTATATGTAAGTTATGTAAGTGCCACCATACCCTGCTGAATAAATTCTTCTTCTTTTTTTTTTGGTAGTATTGGGGTTTGAATTCAGGGCTTTGAGCTCAATAGGCAGGCACTCTAACTCTTGAGCCATTTCTTCACCCCTTTATGCTTTGGCTGTTTTGGAGATGAGGAGAGTCTCATGTTTTGCCCAGCCTGGCCTGGATTGTGATCCTCCCATTTTATGCTGCCTGTCATTCCTGGGATAACAGGCATACACCACTATGTCCATCTTTTTCCCATTGAAATGGGCTCTCACAAACATTTTTTCACCTGGTCTGGCCTGGAACCTTGATCCTCCCGATCCCACATAGCTGGGACCACAGGCACATACCACTGCACCCATCTATTGGTTGAGATGGGGTCTTGAGGACTTTTTTGCTTGGGCTGACCTTGAGCTGTAATCTTCCTGATCTCAGCCTATCAAGTAGCTAGGATTATAGATGTGAGCCATCAGCACTCAGCTTGGATAAATTCTTACACAATATAAGCTATCAAGACTGAGTCAGGAAGAGATAGAAAATCTGAGCAGTTCAGAAATGAGTAAGGAGATTAATTAAAAATTATTAAAATTTCCTATTAAAGGACCAGATGGCTTCACTACTGAATTATAGTAAACATTTAAAGGAAAACTAGTAACAGTCTTTCTCAAACTCTTTCAAAAATACTGATGAAGGAGTACTTCCAAACTCATTTTACAAGTCCACCATTACCTTGACACCAAAGCCAGACAAGTATTCTGTAAGAAAATTATATGCCAGTGTGTCTATATGAACATAGATTACAAAAATCCTCAACAAAACAATTCGACAGCATATTAAAAGAACCATTCTCTATGACCAAGTAGACTCCTGGATGCAAGGATGGCTCAACATATACAAAAATAAACAAATGTGATAGATTACATTAATAGAATGAAGGACAAAAACCATGTTATCATTTCAATATCTGCAGGAAAAGCAACTGACAAAATTCAACATCTTTTTCTGATTTAAAACTCTCAAAAACTTAGGTATATAATAAAGGCTAATAATAACTAATATCATATTCTTCAGTGAAAAGTTGAAAGCTTTTCCTTGAAGATAAGGAACAAGAATGTCTACTTTCACCACTTTTATTCAACACAGTACCATTAATTCCTGCCAAAGCAAGTAGACAGTAAAATAAATAAAAGGTATCAAAATAGGAAAGAAGTGAAACTGTTTGCTGAGAACATGAATTTATTTATAGAAAACCCTTAGAGACTCCACCAAAAACTTTTAGAACTAATCAGCAAATTCAGCAAAGTTGCAAAATACAAAATGAACTCTCAGAATCAGTAGTGATTCCTTATACTAACAGTAAACTCTCTGAAGAAATCAATCCCATTCACAATAGCAAGAAAGAAAAATACTCAGGAGTAATTTAATCAAGGAGGTGAAAGATTTGTAAACTAAAAACTATTTAAAAATCCAGGTGCAGTGGCTTATACCTGTAATTCCAGCTACTCAAGAGGCTGAGATCAGGAGGATTGAAGTTTGAGGTCAGCCTGGGCATAAAGTTAGTGAGATTCCATTTCAACAAACAAGCTCGTGTCTGTCATCCTCACTACATGGGAGGCATAGGCAGGAGGACTGCAGTCTGAGGCTAGCCTGAGCAAAAAGTGAGATGCTATCTGAAAAAAAAAAACCCAATGCCAAAAGGGCTGGAGGTATGGCTCAAGAGGTAGAGTGGCAAGTACAAACCTTAGTACCAACCAACCAACCAACAAATAAACAAACCAACAACTATAAAATATGGATGAAAGAAGTTGTACATGACACCAATAAATGGAAAGGCATCCCAATGTTCAGGGATTAGAAGAATTAAAATTGTCAAAATGTTCATACTATCCCAAGCGATCTACAAAGGGCAGTTTGGATTTTTAAGTGTCCCCCAAAGACACATGTGGTAGAAGCTTGATTACCCAAGGTGGCGCTAGAGGGATATGGTGGAACCTGTAGGAGGTGGGGCCTGATGGAAGGTCTTTAGGTCATTGGAGTGTGCCTTTGCAGGGGTTGTGGGACTCTTGCTACCCTTCACTCTTTTTCACTTTCTGGCCATGGAATGCGTGGTTTTGCTGTGCCGTTTGCTCCCACCATGATGTGCTGCCTTGCCACAGGTCTACAAACACTGGAATCTCCAGAACTGTGAGTCAAAATAAACCTTTTCTCTTTATAAACTGATTATCTTGGGTGTTTATTACAGTAGCAGAAAGCTAACTAACATACTACCCAAAACTATCTAAAAAGCCAATGCATCCTTGTCAAAATTCCTGTGCCATTTTTCACAGAAATACAAACATCAATTCAAAAATTCCTGTAGAACTACAAAAGACTCAGAATAGCCAATGTAATGTTGAGCAAAAAGCTAGAGGAATCATACTACCTGACTTCAGAATCTATTACAAAAAAGCTATAGTAATCAAAATGACATGGTACTGGCACAAAGGTAGACACATAAACTAATGGAACAGGTCAAATAACACAGAAATAAATCTGCAGATCTGTGGTCAATTGATTTTCAGTGAATCTGCCAAGAATAAGCAACAGAGAAGCAAGAGTTTCTTCACAAAATGGTACTGGGAAAACTGAACACCCACATGCAGAAGAGTGGAACTGGAGCCTTCTCTCACCTCATACACAAAAGCAACTCCAAATGCAATGAAGGATTAAAAATTGAAATTATACAAACACTGTAAGAAAACACAGGGGGATGTGTCATGAATTGGTCTGGGTGAAGATTTCTTGGACACAACTCTGAAAACACATGTACCAAAAGCAAAAGTAAAGAAATGGGGTTGGTCAAACTAAAGAGCTTCTATACAGCAGAGGTAACAGTAGAGGGAAGAGACAATCCATAGGTTGGGAGGGAATTGGGAAATGTATCTGAAAAAAGGGTAACACTGAAAATATATAAAATACTCAACTGAACAGGAAGAAAACAAATAAGCTCATTAGAAAACTGGCAAATAATGTGACTAGACATTACTAAAAAAGAGACACACAAATGGAAACAGGTATGTGCAAAAGTGCTCAAATCACTAAACTTAGGGAAGTGTAAATTAAAACTCCCATGAGACACCACTTCATGCCTGTTAAAATGCTCTAGTTAATGATGAAAGACAGCAAGTGGTGGCATGAATGAACACTGTGGTGGGAACATAAACTGGTACAGTTTATAAAATGGAATAACCATATGATCAGCAAGCCCACTAGTGAATATGCACCAGAGCAGTGGAATCTGGGTGTTGAAGAGACTTCTGCATAGATGTTCACTGTAGCATAACTAACAATAGCCAAGACATGGAAACAACCCAAGTGCCCATCAGAAGATGGATGGACACAGAAAATGTGGTACACACAGTGAAATGCTAGTCAGCTTCCAAAGAGAAGGAAAATCTATCATGTGTGGCAAAAGGGTAGAAATGGGGAACCTTATACTAAGTGAAACAAGCCAAGCACAGAAAGACAATACCACATGACCTCATGCCTTTACATGGGATATAAAGAAGTTGAACTCATAGAAGTGGAGAGTAGAATGGTGGTCACCAGAGGCTGGGGTGGGGTGGAGATGTGTGACAGGGATGGGAAGAGAGAGATGCTGGTCAAAATGGGGGAAATAAGTGATCAATTTTAGTAAGTATGGTAGATTTAAAATTGTTTGAGGAGCAGATTCAAAATGTTCTCTTCACAAAAATTGAGCATATGGAATGATACATTACATTGTATCCCATAAATGTACATGATTATTTGTCATTTAAAACAAAATATTTTAAAACGTTGCAAGTTATAAACAGGGTACGGCATGTTTATTTTGATAGAAGGCATATTCCAGAAACCTAAGCATCACGATCAAACACTAGAAGCTTTCCCAATAAAATTAGGAACAAAAATCAATGGTCACGCTCACCTGTACTTTTCAACATTTTATAAAAGTTGTTATTCAGAACATCATGATGAGAAAATGACACTTTAAAAAGAATTGTAAAGAAAGGCAGAGGACTATTATTATTGGCAAATTATACAATGTTTTTTTAACCAGAAAAATCCCAGGGCAATAGTTGAAAACAAGGCTTGTCTTTCTTATGTAAATGTCTACACCCATTTTGTTCAGGGTTTCTTGCCTACAACAGTCCCTCCTTAAATGTACAATCTTATCACTAAGGGATAAATGTTGGGGTGAGGGACAGCCAACATAATTACTGATGTAAGTTAGTAACAATGGGCTCTGCTCTAGAAACCTTGCACTGGCTTTCAGAATAGTATTAGTAAATATGGATATGAAAACTTCAAGATCAATAGCCTTTCTATAACCAATTTTAAATAATTAGAAATATAATAAAACTGTAGTCAAATTAGTTTAAAAAGGTTATACTGAGATACTTTCTTCACTGTAAGCAGATAGCAATGATAGATTAAAACATAAAAAGGAGAACATCAGAAGGACTAAAACAGGCTGGGCACATAGCTCAGTAGTAGAGTGCTTGTTTAGTATGTGCAAGGTCCTGGGTTCTATCCCCAAAACACACACACATACTCACACACAGACTAGTAAACCATTTGGGAAGTAAAAGTGGCAATGTGGATGAAACTGGAGGTCACTGAGCACAATGCCTTCTGAAAGCAGGCTGAAGCAGACACATGTTCAGATCCAGTCAGTTCTCAGGTGCCTATGAACTCAACATAACAGAGCCCATCTGAGTGCCAGCCATGAGGACACCCCCACACTGTATGCACACAGTTAGGTACCCTCTGCTCTATCAAAGCCCATGCCAGAAACTTTTCTGAACATTTCAACCTACATTAGTGGCTAACCAAATTTAATACAGATCTGTATGTCATATCATTTTAGCAGTTAAAATTGTACTTACTTTTTAAGCATATCAATCATGTTTTTTTCTACGTTTACCAGCCACTGCTCTACAGCACTTCTTATACGAACTTTCCTATAATTTGTTTCAAAAAATTATGAAGAGTATTATAATCTTATTTTAATTTGTATTTTTATATTTCAGTCTTTGATAAGTCTATTACTTATGGGACAAAGGACTATAATTCTCTAATACTTTCTGTTTTTTCTAGATTTTTAACTTGAAAACATATTATCTATCTTTAGAAAATTCTGACATCAAAACCATAAATATACACAATAATTAGATATACAAAATATGAATTATAAAATGAATTATATTACAAAATTTTTGGATTGTTCATGATCTTTTTTAAACAGGAAAGTTGGGTTGGGTCTTTGGTGGCTAAGAAAGTTTGGACAGGCATTTCTCAAATTAACTTATATCAGGAAGCACATGCCAGAGGTCAGAGAGCCCAGCTGGGGCTGGCAAGTCAGCCCAGGGGAACAGAGGGGCCTTGCTTGTTCTATTTGTCTGAGAGCCCAGGATAGTGAAACAAGGAGTTGGTAGAAGAAGCATTAACAACCTCAAAATATCAAATTTCCTTCCTATTTATGCTCATTTCATACAACCAAAAAGGAGGTTTTAGGGAAACTTAATGCAGTTTAATGACAGTCTACGGTTTGAAGATTACTTTCCTAACTTGCCATTACAGCAAGGTGAGAGAAGAGTGTGCTGTGGTGAAAAGAGGAAAGTGAAGGCCTTTGAAGAAATAGTTTGTGTAGCAAACTTTTACAATACTGGGAATTTCCAAGCAGAGACTTTGAAATGAGTCAGCTTTACAGGTCTCAGTCAGTAGCATATTTCTCGTACTTTGGCAGTATAAGACCTTCTCCTTCAGCAGATATGAGCATTTTGACAGAGGGAGGGCCAACTTCTTCTTTGCATATCAATACTTGTTTTATATTTTCAAAACATTTCCCAAGATGAGGCTGTGAGTCAGAAAACAATGTCAGTAACATCGCAAAATCCTGACCTGGTCAGGAAAGAGTACTGCTATCAGAATGTGCTGTTACCTGCACAGACTCAGGATTCCTGCTGTCACTTAGGACATCGAGAAGTTCAGCATTGCTGAGAAAGTAAAATCTTGGGAAAATCATCCTTTTAGTTTCAAGGTAATCCTGTCCAGAACCAAAACAAATGGAATTCAGAACATAGATCTGATCGTGACAGGAGTCACATCCTTGGCTGGGCCTCCATGAATGAAGTTGTAATACTCCAGGAGTATCAGTCAGAATAACAGCCCATGCTCATTGAAAGCTATATTAAATTGCTCAACAGTTTTTCTTTTTTGGGAGGTACGGTATTAGGGGCTTGAACTCAGGGCTTCCTGCTTGCTTGGCAGGTGCTCTACCACTTCAGCCACACGTCCAGCCCTTTTTGTTCTGGTTATATAGGAGCAAGGGTTTTACTATTTACTCAGGCCAGCCTGAACTGCAATCCTCCTATTTTTTGGCTTCCTGCCATCGTTGAGATGATAGGCACACACCACCATGCCCAGCTTGTTTTAATTGAGGTGGAGTCTCACAAAGTTTTTTTTTTTTTTTTTTTTGCCCAGGTTGGCCTGGAACCTCCATCCGCTAGATCTCAATCTCCAAAGTAGCTATTTGACACATAACCACTTGCTGCCCAGCTTGTATTATTACTCTCTCTCCCATATCAACATACAGACTTCCCCCTTATCTGCAGCTGAGTACACCCCAAGGTCACCGTGGATAATACTGAACATTGTGATACGGTGACAGTTGCTCTGACAACCAAGGTGGTAACAAGTGACAGGTGGGCAGGTGGCAGGACAGTGAGGTGCACTGGACAAAGGTATGATTCATGTCCTGAGTGGGAATTATTTCTGGAATTTTCTGTTTAGTATCTTAAAATTGCAGATGACCATAAGTAACTGAAACCAGTGAAGCTGTGCATAGGGGAAACTGTGGTACCCACTGCCAGCTGAAGATGGTCTCTTCAGAGCTTTGTGTCCATACCACACCTCCCCCTCCAGCCTCTCCTCGAGTTGGATTGTCTCCCAATTTGTTGGCCAGGTCAGAAATCTAGGCATAATCTGTGACATTTTTCTCTAATCCTCTACTCATTCATCCAGTGTTCCTGGCATTCATCTTCATTGCAGCATTATGTTAATTGCCAGATATTTCCAGTCTTTAACTGGACCGTTCATATCTACTCTCACTATCTGCTGTGGCTTGGATATGGTTTTGAGTGCATTCCACAAGGCTCCTGTGCTGACATTTAATCCCCACAGGGAAGTACTGAGAGGGCAGAAACTGCAACTGATGATGGCATTTAGAGATGGGGCCTTTGGGAGGTGAATACAATAAATCAGGTCATTAGGGTAGAGGTGCTGTGATGGAAAGAAGATCAGAAGATGCCCACAGACAGACGTGCACCCTTTGTCTCCTACCATTGGGGGTCCTATGGTGCCTTGAGACAGTGAGCAAGATGTCACAGCTGGATGTGGGATGTAGTGGCACACACCTGTAACCTGAGCACTCAGGAGGCTGAGGCAAGAGGAATGCAAGTTTAAGGCCAGCCTGGGCCTGCTCAAAAAAAAAAAAAAAAAGACCATTATCAGGTATCAGATGTGGCCCCTCAATCTGGGACTAGCCCAGACAAATCTCTTTACTTTCTAAATACCCAACCTCAGGGATTTCATTATAGTATCAAAAAAACATGCACTGCCCTTCTACACTTTTGTTGAAATTTGATTCCCAGTGTTTGGGTCACAAAGGCTCCACTTTCATGTAGGGATTTGCACTGCTCCTTTGGGGTTGGTCTAATTCTTGTAGGAGTGAGGGGTTCCTTCTCTCCCAGGACTGGCTTAGTTGCCACTACAGCAGGCTGCTAAAAAGCTGCCCTTGTGTCCTGTTTCTTTTCTAGGTGTGCACTTGCCCTCCACTTCTCTGCCATGAGACGAACCGACACCAGGCTCTCTACAGGTGATGGTGCCAAGCTCTTGGAATTCCCAGCCTCCAAAACTACCATTTCAAATTACCTAGTCTCAGGTGTTCTTTTATAGTAGCTAAGAACAATTAAGGCAGTGTCCAATACATAACTTGATGTTTCTTTCCAGAGAGATATTTGTGAATTAAATTATTTCAGTCTGCCACTTCAAATCCTTGAGTGGTTACTCAACAACATCAAAATGCCTTGCAATCTTAAGGCCCTTCACTGCATCTCCTCTGTCTCCCTGGAGAGTCACATCTCTCTCCTCATCTCTCACTACCACTTTCCCATTTACTTGGTCCTCAGTAATGCAGAGATGCTCTGGGAGTAATGAAGAGGTCCATCTCAATGAGTGCCTCCCAACCGGGCTATGATTAACTGTGCTGTTTGGGTGTAGCTCCCTCAGCCTCCCCAAAGCCTCCTGGTGACAGCCACTGCGACCTGTGTCCAAGGGAGCGCTATGCATGCCTGGAATGCATCCTGGCTAGTGAAGTGAAGTATGTACACCATAAATCTCAAATGTTAGAGTCCAGTTTTTAAGAATATGGAGTCTAGCTGCAAATTTAATGTTCTGGAAATGTTAAAAATATATGGAATCAGTATTTTATAAATTCATCAAACTATTCTATTCCACTTTTGCTGAAACTACAACTCAATAACAGTGGTGCTAAGAAAATAATTAATCTTCCTTAAGTACTTTTTGTGTCAGGCCTGGGCTTTGACTATATCATCTCAGTTAGCACAAGGCTTTCGAGAGGAGCCCAGTCCTTACTCTCAACTTAAAGAGAAGGGAGCTTTGGTTCTTTGCCCAAAGATCATTTAGATAGTTCATTCCTGTTTTTCTTTTTTTAATAAGCAGTACTGGGGTTTGAAGTCAGGGCCTTGTGTTTGCTAGGCAGCCACTCTATGACTTGAGCCATACCTCAGGCCTTTTTGCATTAGGTATTTTTCAAATAGGGTCTCAAATTTATGCCCAGACTGGCCTCAACCACCATCTCCTATTTACCCTTCCTGTAAACAGGCACCACCACACACAGCTTATTGGTTCAGATGGGGGTCTCTCAAACTTTTTGCCCAGACTGGCCATGAACCACCATTCTCCCAATCTCCACCTCCCGAGTAGCTGGAATTACAAGCATGAACCACCATCCCTAGGCCCGTACCTGTATTTCTTTTGATGGCATTTTCATTAGCTCCCCATATAGAGAGTTGGAAGAGTTGCTGGCAGTGCGAGGATGAAAGGGAGGTGTGCCCTGGAGTTATTTTCTGCAGTGCATCACTGCACTGTGGTGCAGGGGAGTGAGTCTGCACTTTGTGGTGCAGGAGTCTTACCTCAAGCCTTTTCTTCACATGCTCAAGGTGTGTATTACAGTGTTGCAGGAGCTCAAGGACTCCTGCAGAGGTGGTTATTCTTAAAGCATCCAGTTTGTTTAGAATTTTTGACATTACTTCCTTCCATATGGAGATAACCCGAGAGAAAAGTTTTGTTTCTTCTGGGAGCTGCCTTTAGAAATAAAATTAGCTGTGACCATTTTTGAAAGTGCTATAGTTAACGTCTACCATCTAAATGCACTTGCCACAGAATATGGTGGAATGTATAAAACAATTTTAATATTTTTTTTCCTTGATAAGTCATTAATTACAGACATTTTCAATTGTCTACTATATATAAGCAATGTATGTGGTAAGAAACACTGGGATAAATTAGACATGTAACTATCTGTAAACAAAATTATGCTTAGTGTGTGGCAGAATATGGCTATATACATGTTCTGCACAATGCAAGTACAAGTGGTTTATGTCTTGGGGTTGTATGGTTTGAATCGTGAATGTTCCCCAAAGGACCATGTGTCCCCAGCCTGTAGCACTATGAGAGGTGGTGGAACCTTCAGAAGGTGGGGCCTAATAGGAGGAAGGTAGGTCATTGGGAAAGTACCCTTAAAGTGCTCCCCCTCTCTCACTCTGCTTCCTGGCCACCAAGAGGTGAATGGCCTAGGCTGTGTGCTTCTTCCATGATGTACCGTGGTACCGCAGGCCCAAAGCAGCAGTCCAAGCGACCACAGACTGCAACCTCTGAAACTGCAAGCAAAGTAAATCTTTCTTCCTCACAGGTATTTTGTCACAAGTGGTAGAAAACTGGCTGATACAAAAGTGACAATGGGATCTAGGGAGAGCTTATTTGGAGAAGCCACAGGATTTGGGTTTTAAAGGAACATGAAGTGAGGAAGAGAAGGCAGAGAGGACCTGCAGTCTGGGAGGAGAAAATACAGGTGGACATAAAATCATCAATAGATGATGATTTTTGATGATTACATAACCTCAGTAAGTAAGGAAATGCAAGGCAAGTGTCAGCCTCAGTACAGAAATTTTTTTTCTGCAGAATATTGTCATGATTTTACCCCATTGGGAAAGGAAAAGCAAAGCCTGCTTGTGGCATGATAATCTATTGATATATTAGTTTGAGTCTTGCTTTTGCTGCTGTGGAGTTGAATATGGGAAGTATTTTCAAAAGTTGCTTGGTATTTCTCTTTCTCTGCTCACTTGGCTTTCCCATCCCATCCCAGCTCCAACCTGATTCAAGCTCCTTGTGGGTTGGGAGCTGAGGTAGGAGGACATGGGAAAGTCCCTTTCTTTTCATTCAGCTGGTGTTACTTCACATCCTGCTCACTTGTGAATGCCTCTGGCATGGCAGACATCTACAGAGTAACCGAGCTCCTTCCAGGAATCTTGGTAATGTACCTTTTTCCTGAGTGTTTTCAGCTGACCTCCTATGCCCAGTCTTCAAACTCTGGTTTTAAGTGCTGTGCTTCAGGGGTTCTCTCAACAGCTGTTTCGGGTAGAGATCTTTCGAGGTAGCCTAGTGTGGGAACTTGTATTGTTTTTCCATGGTCTAAGTCAGATTCTTCACTTCCTCACCACTGTTGACATTTTGTGCCAGATGATTCTTTGTGCGTGTGGGGGTGAGGGTGGCTTTCCTGGGCATTGTTGGATGTTTACCAGTATCTTTGGCTCTACCCACTAGAGCCCGAGTAGCATTCCCTCAGTTGTGACAACTACAAATCATTCCAGGTTTTTCAAAATATCCATGACAGTAAAATCACTCATGTTGTGAGCCATGCATATTTGCACTTCTTCCTTGTACTACCATGCATAGCTGCTGCAGAATTCTCCACAGAAGAGGCAAGCATTTGTTGCCCCACCCTCCAGACTCTGGGGCAAAAAATGTCAAACTCTCCCTAGAACCCTCCCAACATTATCTTGTTCCCCACTGCAGCTCCAGTCACAGAGACAGCTTCCCTCTGTCAAGCGGTCCTCCCTCTGGGAGGCTCTAGTGCTGCCTTGCTCACTGAATTCCCACATTCCTGAGCTCCCTGTATACAGTTCTTCCAGCTCATCACCACCTTCTTTTTCATATTTTCCCCACTAGTATTGGCCCCATCATCCTTCTCCAGTAGTTAAAGGTCCATTATTGGCCTGTTTCTTTTTTCTTCGTTTTTAAAAAATATTTTTATTAGTTTATATTAGCTGTACATGGGGGTCATTGTGATATTTACATATGTGCTTACAATATACCTAGGTTAGAGTCACCCCCTCCATCATTCACCCTCATCTTCCTCCCCCTCTTCTTAAAACAACTTCAACAGGTTTCATTGTTCTATTTGCATACAACTACTTAAAGTACAACTACCACATTCACCCTCCTTTACATTCTCCATTTACCCTCTCCCCTCCCACTAACATCTACCTCTGAACAGGACCTGTTTTACATTTCTCTCTTATTTTTTTTAAAGTGTATATTCATTGTTCAAAGAAGTTTTGCTGTGGTATTTACATTCATGTATACACAATGTTTGTACCATATGCACCCTCTGAGACCCTCTCCCCACCTTCTCCCCCCTCCCACTGGTACAAACCCCACAGATAGGACCTCTTCTGCTCTCCTGTTTGTTTAAGATATCTAAACATTGGTTTTTTTGTGGCATTTCCATGTATATATGTATTATAACCTGAATTGGTTCATCTGTTCTGTTTTTCTCCTTTCTTCCTTAGTTCCCTTGTCCCAGGCATGCATAGCACTCCCTTGGACACAGGTCTCAGTGGCTGTCACCAGGAGGCTGTTGGCCCAGTCATGCTGTGAGGAGGCGGAGGGAGCTATGCCCGAACAGCATGGTTACTCATCGCCGGGTTGGGAGGCACTCATTGAGATGGACCTCTTCATTACTCCCAGAGCATCTCTGCACTATTACTGAGGACCAAGTAAATGGGAAAGTGGTAGTGAGAGATGAGGAGAGAGATGACTCTCCAGGGAGACAGGGGAGAGGCAATGAAGGGCCTTGAGATTGCAAGGCATTTTGATGTTGGTGATTTCAACAGGTTTAAAAATTCTATATTCATTCTTGTATAGGAAGGATAACAACCACATTCACCTTCTTAACAGTCTTCTTTTACCCTCCCCCTACCGTATGTGACCTCCCTTAGTGTGACCTGTTTTTCATAATATTGCTTGTATTTGTATTGTGCCTATATTCCACATATGAGAGAAAACATGCAGCCTTTGGCTTTCTGAATCTGGCTAACTTCACTTAAGATGATATTCTCAAGTTCCATCCATTTACCAGAAAATGACAATAATTTCATTCTTCTTTGTGGCTGAATAAAATTCCATTGTATACAAATACCACATTTTCTTAATCCACTTATCAATAGCGAGGCACCTTGGTTGTTTTCCATAGCTTAGCTATTGTGAATAATGCTGCAATAAACATGGGTGTGCAGGTGCCTTTGTTGTAACCTGACTTCCATTCCTTAGGGTATGTGCCTAGGAGTGGTATTGCTAGATCATATGGCAGTTCTATTTTTGGTTTTTTGAGGAGCCTCCATTCTGTTTTCCATAGTGGTTTTACTAATTTACATTCCCACCAGCAGTGTATAAGGGTTCCTTTTTCCCTACATCCTCACCAACATTTGTTGTTGTTTGTGTTCTTGATGATAACCATTCTAACAGGAGTGCAGTAGAATCTTAACATGGTTTTGATTTGCATTTCCTTTATGGCCAGGGATGCTGAGCATTTCTTCATGTTTTTTTTTTGCCATTTGGACTTCTTCCTTTGAAAAGCTCTGTTCAGTTCATTTGCCTATTTTTTCATTGGGTCATTGATTTTTGGGGAGTTTAGTTTTTTGAGCTCCCTGTATATTCTGATTATTAATCCCTTGTCACATATATAGCTGGCAAAGATATTCTTCCATTCTCTGGGCTTCCTCTTCAATCTGGTGACCATTTCTTTTGTTGTGCAGAAGCTTTTTAATTTCATGTAGTCCCATGTGTCAGTTCATTCTCTTAGTTGCTGAGCCATTTGAGTTCTATTTAGAAAGTCATTGCCTATGCCTATTAGTTCCAGTGTATTCCTTGCTCTTTCCTGTACTAGCTTCAAAATTTCAGGTCTTATATTAAGGTCCTTAATCCACTTTTGAGTTGATACTTGTACAGGGAGAAAGTCGTGGATCTAGTTTCAGTCTTCTGCATGCAGATATCCAGTTTTCCCAGCAACATTTGTTGAAGAGGCTGTCTTTTCTCCATCATATGTTTTGGGCTCCTTTGTCAAAAATGAGCCTGGTGGGCATAGCTGTGTGGATTCATGTCTGGGTCTTCTATTCCATTCCACTGGTCTACATGTCTGTTTTTGTACATTTGATGTACCAAAATTGAACCAAGAGGTTATAAATCACCCAAACAGATCATAACAAGCAATGTGACTGAAGAGGTAATGAAGTCTGGTGAAGTTCATCAAATGAACTTCATTTGATGGAACCTTCAAGGTCTTTTAAGTATGGAATCATATCATCTGCAAATAGGACAATTTCACTTCCTCCCTCTTTGAATCCCTTTTCTTTCTTTCTCTTACCTTATTGCTCTGGGTAGGAATTCTAGTACTATATTAAATAAGAATGGGGAGAATGGACACCCTTGACTTGTTCCTGACTTTAGAGGAAATAATTCCAGTTTTCCCCCATTTGGTATATTGGCTCTAGGTTTGTCATATATAGCCTTTATTATGTTGAGGTACTTCTCTTCTATTCCTGGTTTCATCAGAGCTTTTATCATGAAAGGATGTTGAATTTTGACAAAGGCTTTATCTGCATCAATTGAGATAATCATTTTTGTCCTTGATTCTGTTTATATGCTGTATTACATCAATTGATTTATATATGTTGAACCATCCTTGCATTCCTGGAATGAAATCAATTTGATCATAGTGTACGATATTTATTATGTGCTGTTGAATTTGGTCTGCAAGTATTTTATTGAGAATTTTTGTATCTATGTTCATTAATGAGACAGGGCTGTAAATCTCTTTTGTTGTTGTTGGTTTTGGAATAAGTGCAACACTAGCTTCATAGAATGAGTTAGTTTGAGGAGTATTGGTGTGTGCTCTTCTTTAAAGATCTGGTAGAGTTTGGCAGTGAAGTCATCAGGTCCTGGACTTTTCTTTCTTGGGAGACTTCATTACCTCTTCAATCACACTGCTTGTTATGATCTGTTTAGGTGATTTATAGCCTCTTGGTTCAATTTTGGTAGATCAAATGCATCTAGAAATTTCTTAATTTCTTCTAGATTTCCCAGTTTATTTTAATATAAGTTTTCAAAGTATTCCCTCATGATCCTCTGGCATTGGTATTAGTTGTGTTATCCTCCTTTTCATATCTACTTTTATTAATTTTGGTCTTTCCCTTCCCTCTTCTAGTCAGATTGGTTAAGGGTTTATCAATCTTATTAATCTTTTCAAAGAACCAACTTTTTAAAAATTTATTCTTATTTTTTTTGGTCTCTATTGCATTAATTTCTGACCTAATTTTTATTATTTCTTTCAATCTGCTAGTTTGGTTTGTTTTGTTTATGTTTTTCTTATCTGTAGAATCTATCATATAGCTTCCTTCAGCATCTCTTAAAAGCCTCAGCAAATTTTATACAAGAACAACTTGGTGACATTTTGAACCCCCCTTACCTAGGAATCTGATCTCTCCACTAATGAGAATAATCTTTTGTAAAACATAGCATTAAAGTTTGAATATAAGACTAAAAGTTATGGCAGCCGTAAGGATATACTCCTTAGTATATGGATTCACCTTGGAAGACTTTCAGAATAACTTTTAGGTTAACACATTAGAAGAATCCCAAGCATACATATGACAAGAACAGTATAGCAAAAACAAGTCTTGTTTCCTACCTAACAATACTTACAGCTGAACAGTTCTCTTTTATAAACTTCCAGGGCACTGTGTCTCTTCCCAAAACAAAGTTCAAAGTGCTTTGCCTGACCTTCATCACTCTCACAGGCCTTCCTAGCATCCTCATGACTCCCTGCCTTACTTAAGAATGGCTCTTAGACCAACTTATATGATTTACTCTCAATAGTTTAAATTCTGCCTACAAACTCTTCTGTCTCAAATTAAGCACTCTTAGTGCCAATCACTTAAACAGTTAATAGTTGATTAATTTGAATGCTATGAAGGAAAGGAAAAGGTAGAATTTTTGATAACTGCTAAAGTCCTAAATTCATCTACTTAGTTCAAAGCAAGAAATTCTCATTAATGCATGAATGCTACTAAAAACACATTACACATTGAAGTCACACTAGTATCTCAGAACTAAACACACACATACATTGTGGCTTAAGGGTTGTAATTTTTTATATCTTCCTATTAACATCTTTATATAAAAATAAACTTTTTTGAAAGAAAAAGTAATAATGATCCAGCAGATCTGTCTGTAGGTGGATAGTTTACTGTTCACTGAAGACATGATTTCTTAAGGATCCAAGAAACTTAGTTCCCCACTCTGCATTTTTATCTGTATACAGTATATTTAAAATTTTTTTTTTAACCTTTGTATTTCTGAAGAATGAAAGATTGGTTCAAGATAAAGCCAATTTCTTTGGCAATTCATCCATTCCTGAAGGGTATGGGAGAAGAGATTTAAGTTTCGATCCCATTCACTCAGAAGGTCCTATAAAACCAAAAATGTACACATGCATGAGTCTAAATATATGAATTAGCCTATAAGAATCATATAAGAGTAACTGAAGTCAAAGATGATTACCAATCATGGAACATACAGAAAATTATTAATAGATTGACACATAAATGAAAATAAATTCAATTTTGCTTAGTTTTGGGGTTTTAAGATGTTCTGTTCATCTAATTTTCTCTTATATTTATGTGATAAACAATTATTTTTTGTAAAGACTTGTGTAGCACACACATGTATATAGAAATTAACACGAATATTCCACTCAGTCACTTCTTCCTTCCTATTGCAGAAGAAATACAACCAGGAGTTTAGAGTGCATATTATTTCAGTCCCTTCTGTAACCCACATATGCACATGTAATATGTTTAATAGTTTACATAAATGCAACCATGTTATACATTGTTCTGTAACATGTTTTTCAAAAAGCTAACAATGACTTCTAGAGAGGTTTCATGTCACTAAAGATTTTCTTCATTCTTTTAATGATTTCAGAAAATGCCATGGTATGGATCTTTTCTGAGCTAGCATATTTATTAAAATAATAGGAAAATGGACTCCTGGGGGGACCACATGTGATTCATTTATAGTTGTCCTCTGGTATTCACCTCCATAGTTCTTTCTTTCTTACATATTTTGATAGCTTTATTAAGGTATGATTGATACACAGTAAATGCTGCATATTCAAAATGTTCACTTTCCTAAGTTTGACATATTCTTATGACTGTGAAATGACTGCTAGGACCATTTCCCTGAAAGGGATCCTTATGCCCTGTTGTAAGACCTTCCTTCCATTTCTTCTAATGCTCTCAAATGGTTGTTGGCCTGGCTTCTGGCAGCTTCCTCATAGTCACATGCCATCAACTGTATCTGCTAAATACATGAATATATTGCAAGCTCTAACTTCATTGGCTCTCCATACTTTCAATAGCATCTCCTATCAGGGAATCTGCCAGGCTCTGCTTAGTTTCTTCTCTTTTTCCCCAGTCAAGGTTTAGAAACTCAAAGTAGTGGGTTGGTGTAATCACAGGGCTGGCTTTATCTTGTGTGTTTCTTATACCCCAGAGATTCTTGTCCTTCATTCCCTGGTTTCCCCTGTCCTGAAAACCATTGCTCCATATATTTAGTCTGGTTTGATTTGGGTGTTGGGGGCTGGGTGATAAAGCTGGCCCCTATAATCAACATGTTTAGAAGTAGAAGTCTTTGTGTGTATGTGTGATGTTCTTCTCAGCTTCTTGACTATGCCCATTTATCATTTATTAAATTCATTTTTTAGTTTTAATAAAGGAATTTAATGCTTTTATTCATTTTCATAGGACTCTAGCTAACTGTGACAGGTTTGATATGTAATTCTCTCCTTGTTGCTTATTTCTAAATGAAAAATGGATTACATTTCCTGTACATTCAGATAGTTCTTTTTAAATTTTCATTTTTTTGGTTTTTGTTTCATTTTTTTGCTGCTCATTTTTTATTTTACTACAAGTAGTTAGAATATATTTTATTTGGTTTATCATCTTTTTTTGTAATTTATTGGCTTTTTTCTTTAAGGCCTACTTATGACATTTTTCTTAAATGTTTGAGTATTTGCAAAGAATGTTAATTCCACTTGTTGAGTACATGCCTTTTTGTGATTATTTATCTATCTGTGTAGGGGTATGTACATATGTGTATGATCTATTATATTAATTTTGCTACTGAATATCTGTATTTTATTAACTATTACTAGGTTTCCTAAAGTTTGAAGATAATTTGTAGGTATGTTACTGGAGGTGGGGCTACCAAGTCAGGGATTATTAGGATACACTGAACACATTGACTTTTTTTTTTTTTTTTTTTAGGATAAAAGTCAATGTTTGTAGGATCATATAATTAGATGATCTAAATTTATCTTGTCTGTTCAAATTAAACTTTCTGCTGTTCCCTCATGAACAATTAATGTTTCTGAAAAAATTATTCTTAGCATTCAAACTATGAAATATTCAATCTCATTTCTACATGAGTATATGAAAAATTTATATAATTCAAAAGTAAATGAAAATTCTAGAAGGCAAAACATTAAAGTGGCAAACTGTAGAAAATTAAAACATTTTCTCAGCTCTTGGGAGGCCGAGGCAGGTAGATCATGAGTTTGAGGCAAGCCTGGGCTACTCAGCAAGACCCTGACTCAAAAAGCAAACCAACCAACCAACCAACCAACCAAACAAACAAACAAAAGACATTTTATCTTTGCCATAGTATTTACCTTAATTGGCCCAAGATAGGGAGATCCTTTAATTGTTGTAAGTACAACTTGAGATTCTTCTAACTGAGCTAATATATCATCTATAGATGAGATTACCAAGATAGAGTAAGTCTCTGTGTGATGAAGAACTAAGTGTAAAGGAGTTGTGTTCCAAAGATCAATAATCTTAAACAGCATTTTTTCAAGAGCAGCTTCATTAGTTGCTGAGATTGATATTTCATTTATTTCACTCTCATATTGAAACATCTAAAATGAAAAAATTATTCTTTAATATCCAGTGGAGAAAATAATTCCCAAAACATTTAAAATGGAAGATCTACATGCATAGCTTGAAAGATTCATCAGAAGAATTGAAAAGCTGAGTCTGGTTGAGTTTCCATCCTCACCCGGGACTTCAGGTTTTAATTATCCTCACCGTTTCACATTCTTCATGCTCACTGAAGATTTCTAATCTTCCTGTTATTCTAGTCAGTGTAAAGATTATATTCCTTCTGTACATGTGCAGGTGGTAATATTCCCATCAGCTTTCTTTCCTCTGCACTAATACCAACTGCTTAATTACATTGTGACATGTTTTTACTTGCCATAATAAATTTTGGAGTATATCTATTTAAGAAGATGTAACTCTCATCAACATAGATGTCTATGGCACCCCTTTCTTTGCCATACCTCCTTGAGGATCTGTTTCTTGAATACATTAGTGGAATACATACAGGCCTTCTTCCCATGTGCACTGACTATCACTTCTCCCAGAAGTGCCTGACATAAACAAACTCTCCAGGTTCACTCACCGTAAGACAAGGGACTTATCTATTCATCCCCTCTGTCATTATAACTAACTCTCAGAAGAAGTAGTTGCCCCAGCTCCTGGCTACAGCACTTCAGAACTAAAAACCTTCTCTGGCTCAAATGTTACACTAAAGCAATTTGTACCCTCAAAAATCTGCAGAAGGCTTTATTTTTGAACTAACTATTCATGCTAGAAAGGCAAAGATAGCTCACTGGGGCTCTTGGAGGTATCATAGGCCATCATGCCATGTAGACCTCCAACTGCTCTCCTCTCTGCCTGTCTGTCTTAACTTTTATTGCTTGCTGTGACTCCTAGTTTGCCAAGTTATTGCCCTCAACCTAACTAGCCCAGGGATAGTTCCCATAACCCAAGGGTCTGAAAATGAAAGTATGGAAATTGTGCAATGTTTTCAGCATGCAAGTTTGAATAACTCAACTGTTGGCACCAACCCTTTTTTTCTAAAATTGCTTAGGTATTTTACTGGATCTGTCTTGGGCACATAGAACATTTAGGACACTCTGTCAATAATTCAGGAAAAGATAACAGATTTAAATAGGATGTGGATTCAAAGACCAGGAGAAGACTAAAGATTATTTCATGACTTTTAGTGTAAGCAATTGATAGAATGCAGCTGCCACTGACTGAGATAGAGGATATAGAAGAAGAGTAGAATTTGAAACAGGGAGATCAAAGATAAACTTTTTTGATATGCCAATTTTGAAATATCTAAGATATAAGAGAGGAGATAATGAATAGGAAATTAGATATATCAGTCTGGAGTTTAGGAGGAAGATTGAGATTAGGACTGAAAACATAAAATAATCTAATTTTAAAATCAATTAAAGTTGTCCTAAAAATTCTTTTTGAATTCTTTAAAAATATTTCTTACATTCCTCATTACAACAGAATTATAGGTGAAAAATGCTATTTTGGATTACATTAGATATTAGTAAACCATTAAGTGGTTTATGCCTTTAATCCTAGCTACTGAGGAGGCAGAGATCAGGAGGATCATGGTTCAAAGCCAGCCTGGGAAAAGTTCGTGAGTCCTCATCTTGAAAAACCCTTCACAAAAATAGGGCTGGTGAAGTAGCTCAAGGTGAAGGCCCTGAGTTCAAGCCCCAGTGCCACAAAATAAATAAATAAAATTTATTAAGTTAGGCAGGAAAACAGAAACATTTTTAAACATGGAAAAGTTGGAAATATGTAACACAGCGTGTGTGATAAATCAAAGTACTGCTAGTTAGGCACTGTAAATATAATATCAAGTTATTGGCAGGGCTACCTTAACATGCTCCTAGTATATTTTCATTTAATTTAAAATGAGATGAGTAGATTTGACTTTTCCATTCCTACAAAATATAATCTAAGAAGTAGCACTGTTTGAATAATGAAATTTGTCACATATGATGACCACCGTTACTGTCCTCCACTCTCCCACACAATGGTGGTATGACTAGCCTACCCACCGTCTCCGATTAAGCACAGCCTCCTATCAACTATTATCTACTAAAATGCTCTGATTTTCCCCTACACTCTATAAATGTTTCCCTTTCTAATTCCTATTCTTTGTACATTTACTTGCCTACTTAAAATTTCCCCCTCCAAGAGCTCAATCTGTTTTCTTCAAATTACTTTCATTTACCTTGAGGGCTAGCAGATCCTCCACTGGACAGTTTTTATCAAGGGACTTTCCCACGACCTCCTGTATAGCCTCCCAGTGCCTGGGCTTCAGACATGGGTTTCCCATTGCCATGATAATAGGCAGCTTTTGTTTAAAATCCATCACTGACTGCTTAAGGTGTGCTACCATGTCATTTTTAGGCAAACCTACAAACAATGAATATGCAGGCTTACAATATGTTCAACACATTTTTTAACCAAAGCAATTGAAAAAAATAAGAATGTTTCCTTAAAATTTGCTAATTAATACAATACTAGTCTATCAATTACTAGTCTGCATTTCAATGAGCTTCACTGACATCACTCTTCCATAAGAATCAATTAAATTAACAAAATGCAATTGTCAGGATTGGTGACTAAAATCCAAGACTACTAGACCAAGTCATCTTGGAATATGTGGTATCCAGATGGAAGCTACCCAAGGGTTTCCTGGACTTTCACTGATAGATCCACAGACAGATGGTGCACATAGGCGTGTTCATAACACTTTCAACATTTAAAGTTTGCTGGGAAAGGAAGAACATCAAGGTGAAAAAGAATCCACTATCACTATTGTTTCACAAAGAAAATATTTCAACACCAAAATGTAGAAAATATAGGTGACAACGTTGCCATACATTGTTGTTCTGTACCCTGGCACTGGTAGACCATCCAGGAACACGACTCAAAATCTGTACAGATGAAGGTTCAACCCTTATAACCTTTCTATTCAACTTATGAATTAAAAAGGGGGGTGATAGAGAAATAGCCAAAAGTTGGAGATCCAGTAGAACTAAAACTACATTCATGCGTTTGAAAAACCAATTTGTACATATGGGGATTCTTCTATAAAACTTCATTTAATATAGCAAGAGATGGTTAAGTAGAAGGCCAAGAAAATAACTTCAGTTTTTGCCAGTATCAATTCTGGCATTCAGCAAAGTTTTATCTGGGAAACTATGGGTAACACAAGTGTTGCCTACTGTGTTACTTACTGTTCTCTGAAACATGTATGGGAAATACTAAAAGTGAAGGTTCACAGTGAGTTGTCATGTTAAAGCATTGAGACTATGGTTTACCAGGCTTTTCTTTTTACTAAACATTTTGTGATAGTTATATTTCTTATACATTTATTATGCTTTTTTATTTGTTTTGGTGGTGGTGAGGATTGAACCCAAAACATGCGTGCTACCACTGAGTCACATCCCCAGCTTGTATGATTTTAAAATGAACCAAATAAAGTGTTTTTTATGGATTTTCAGGAGAGGAAATTTTAGCATGAGGTATGGCTAAGCATTAAGGGAGGAGTCCCTTGGGTAAATGAAATGCAAGTCTCCTGGAAACGGTAAGATCAAATACAGCGCAATCACAAGAACAATATCTCTGCAATGGCAAGACTTCAAATCTGAAAAAACCTCTCAAAATGACTTTTCTGTTTTCCTCACTGTCCAAAAGATACTATGTGCATAGCAGAGTATGTGGGGAAAGATTCTGCAGGTGGTCCAAACCCTTAGAATCAAAACTTATTCTCAAGTATCTAGAGTTGTACCTACAGAACCAATTTCTAAAGGGTACAAAAATTAATTAAGTTGTTCCCTTAATCTCTTTCAGCAAACAACTCCTACCAAATCTCCTGTACTTCCTGTCTCTCCAGCCTCTGAGAATGGGTGAAAAAACCAAGGACAGTGATCCTGCTGCTCAGAGCCCATTTTGAGTGTAATCCTGGATGGGTGGGAAAATTCGAGAAACATACTTTTACCTTTTTCTAGCACATGGATTATATGCAGCCACTTTGAAACACTTCTCTGCACTAAATCTACATCAATAGTTTGAAGAGAACATTTCCTCCATTCCCAAAAGAGTGTTCCCCACTCCTCTTGTGCTTCCCACAGTATTTTCCTCAAGGTTAAGTCACATTCAATGTCAGCAATCTCTGAGAGCACAATCTGAGCAATCTCCTCCAAACTAAAAGAGTGTATTTGATGCTGGGAGTCCTCGAAATGATCCTGGTAATTTGAATATATGTCAGCTTTGTGAGCCAGACTTGCAACTTCCTCTGACAGACTCCGGACCATTTCCATTGCTGTTGCTGCTTTCGTACTTGCACACAAGAGAACAGGAGTTCTTATCTAAAAAAATAGCAGTAAGACATTCTAAGAGACCAAACTGGTCAGAATTTAACCATGTTTTACTGGCAATTACATTAGTACATAAACTGGTAAGTGAGTGAAGACAGAAATATGATCATCATTTGGCCCTAAAGCCTGGAAAGATTTCAGGGGTTTTAGCCCTTTTTTATGCTTCAACCTGTTGAAGTCTATGGTAAAATTACCATCTTCGCTGCTGTTTGTTGACTAGCTTCATTCACAGAAGAAAATGCTAAACTCCAACTAGAGGTAACTGAAAATAAGAGATGTAATTTTATTTCCCATTCAAGTTCACAAATTACCAAAATTCTGTGGATCCCAGGTTTAGAATACTTGGATTCAATTATTTAGGCAAAGTTCTACAGCAAGCAAATATCGATATGCATAGTTTTACATGAGACTATGATCAAGTTTTTAGTGAGAAAAAAAACAACAAAAAGAAACTCAACACTTACTTTGGCTTTTAAATTGCTAACGTCCACTCGTAATCGGGTAATACATGATTCCAAGTTATTCCTGAACTTAGCGATAGCTGCATCTCTGGTGGTTGTACTTAACTTCAGAGATGTTTTTAGCTGACTGAACTTGATAGAGAGAATTTTATATAGGGCATTTTGCTCTTCTGAAATATCAACTTCATAATACTTTACAACAGAATATAGCTGAGAAACTGTTGAGTACTCTTTTTCCAATCTAGATATTTTTGAAGAAATTGTATCCAAAAAAGCAAATTGTTCCACAAATTCTTCTATTTCAGTGGGGTCACATTCTAGTTGTTCCAACGATGATTCTACAACCTGAAACCATCGATATACCAATTATAATTATGCAATGATCCTTCACTATTTTAGAAGACTAATTCTTGCTTTTAATTTCCCTTGATTCTAGAAATATACCTACAAAAAACCCCCAAAGATATCACCTGGACATAATTTTAAGTATTGTTTAAGTGCTAGAGAATTAACATAATCAAATCCTTCTATTATTAACAGAAGACACTTGAATAAATCCCACATTCAAAATTTAACTAAGGCATAAAAGAAGTACGCTATGAATAACTGTTCAAGACCTAACTAATAAGAACAAACAGCAAGAGTGCAGTTGAAATGTGAATGGAGCATGGCTGTTGCCATTCATGATGTAGGTTCTTTATTACGTGGTCTCATTCAGAAGGTGTGTTTGCTGATCAGGTGTTATTTTCTCTAGTTTGCACACAAGGAAACTCAGTCTCAAAGGGACTGGTTACCTTAAGATCAGGAATATGGTAAGTAACAGAACTATGATTCAAATCCTAATCAAAATCACTGACAGCCAATTTCAAATGTTCTAACCACAAAAATGTACGTTGTATCCCATAAATGTATTCAACTATTATTTTCCCATTTATGGTAAAATTAGTTTAGAATACCAAAAAATATTATTAGGGAGTTTTGAAATCATTAACTCATTTAATTCTTGTAACCACTCCAGGTTAGGTACTAATTCCAACATCCCATTTTTTGGAAGAGGGGAGAATTAGAAAATGACACCATTCTAAGATCTCATTTTACTGGAATGAAGAAGTGCTGGGGAGAAAAGTATTTATCTTAGTGGGTAAAATATTTTGTTTTCACCTAATAGTAGAGAAATACATTTCATCATGAGAATCACAAATAGTTGTATACTTAAAGAAATTAAAATCTAGAAGAACCTAAATGAAAAGAATGGAAAGGAGATGGCACCAAGCAGCAGCTGATGGCAGAACAGGACAAGAAGGAACAGCAAAATGGGAGACACAGCAAGAGGGAAGCTGGGCACCTCCCACTGGAGGCACCAACTATGAACCGAGTTAGAAAATTCAGAAGTATACTGCTCACTGGAAACACACTTGATGAGAAGGTGAAAAATAAAGCAATGGGCAAGATTAACTCAGCAAATACACATCCACCAAAACCCAGGAGGACTCTTATACCTACTGGGCAAGTTAAAGCACTGAAAGATGCCTATTATGTTTTGTGATAACAAATGCTATTTATTAATTTAGTTATTTTTGACACAGGGTCTCACTATGTAGCCCAGGCTGGCCTCAAACTCACGATCCACCTGCTTCAGGCTTCAAAGTGTTGGGGTTACAGGTGTGTGCCACCACGCCTGGCTTGGAACACTTTTTAAAGATGATTTAACAATTATAAACCAAACTATACAGAAGCTAGGGATAGACAGAAAGCATCATTAGAAATGTGAAGAGATACTGATTAAAAGCATAATCAGAGTAAGTTTAAGAACAGCTCTTTCAGAATTTTTGTATGTGTCTGGTGAGCCAAATATGCTAACACTAGTAATTTGAAAGAGTATTATAATAAAAGAACTTTATTCTTCTCCCACTTTCCTCCATATTTTAAAAGAAGAACTGCTTTTTGGATGAAATAGACATCCACATCCAAGAATTTCCTGGTTATTCACAGATAATAAAAAAAAAAGTCCTCTGGTTACTTTTGGTTTACAAAAATTCACAACTAAAAACTTTAGTTCCACTTAATAATCAAGAGTCCAAACTTTACTTCAAATTAAAGTCTGCAGTTCAGAAGATAGGTGTGTGACTAGCTG